AAAGTGGACCACATCAGTCCAGCTCTGAGGTCTTTACACTGGCTGCCTGTCCGTCAGAGGATAGACTTTAAAGTCCTGATGCTGGTCTATATGGTTAGGACCAAAATACATCAGTGACCTCCTGACCCAGTATTCCAAGGTCAAGGTTCAAGGTTCTTTATTATTTGTCACATGCATAGTTATACAAGTATAACACACAGTAAGTAACTACACGCTCCTCCATGTCACATGGGGGGGGTAGAGGAAAACATTATAATATAATATATATTATTATTATTATTATTTATATATATATTGTATATACACTGAGTGAATGTGCAGTAGTAGCAGCAAGCAGGTGAATTCTGTACATTAATATGAATAAATATCTGACTATTTACAGGATAGACAATATAAACATATTTAAAATTAAAGGAATTGAAATGTACATTGTGCCTTGGTTTAGTGTCTGGAAGAGAGTCCTGTCTCAGTCAATTATAGATGATGTGAGAGGGCGGGTGTGTGTGTTTAGGGCACGGATGGCTTGGGGATAGAAGCTCCTCTTGAGTCTCTCTGTCCTTGCCCGGAAGATGCGGAACCTTCTACCAGATTGCAGAAGTTGGAACAGTTGTTGCCAGGATGGGACGGATCCTTCAGTATCTGCGCTGCTCTAGTCAGTATGAACCTTCCAGATCCCTCAGGTCATCTGGATCCGGCCTTTTATCAGTTCCAGAGTCAGAACCAGACACGGAGAAGCTGCATTCAGCTTTTATGCTCCTTATATCTGGAACAAACTCCCAGAAAGCCTCAGATCAGCTGAAACACTCAGTTTATTTAAATCCAGGTTGAAGACTCACCTGTTCTCAGCTGCATTTGAATAAAGCACCAAAGCCACACTCTTAACCCTTGTATGGTGTTCGGGTCTGTGAGACCCGTTTTCAGTTTTTTCAAAAGAAAAATTAAACAATTAATTATTGTTCAACCTGAAATTCATTGGCTTTGGCTTATTTTCTGTGAAGAACATAAATCCGAGCTAATTTTCAATGACCTCATACTGTACCTCCCCCACGCATTTACATTACATACAAGGTGTTCGGGTCCACTGGACCCAGGTCTAATAAAAGTGTTGAAAGTGTAGGTCCTGTGTTCCCACACTCTGTCTTCCTCCTTTCTGGTGCTGCTGATAGTGTTTTCTTCCCGTCCTGCTCTCGCACAAAGTTGCAACATTGTTGAAAATTCAACTATCAACACCGTCTGCTCTGACATTCCCGCACATTTTACCCTCTTTCTTGAGGGATCCAAATTTTATTTTCTCATACCCTGTCCCACCTGCAAATTAGGGGCATAATACTATAAATAAGACTTTGTCAGTGTGGTTCTTTATCACAACTGATCAAGATGGCAAAAGATTATCTGCTGCGAGGGCCATCCAATTGATTTTGGAAGAGAGAGGGGCTTCGGATGATGATGTTGACAAAGAGGGTTCAGAATATTTCACATTTCTGAAAATTCTGAGTCTGACAGTGACTTTGAAGAAGAGGATGAGGTTGAGCACCATTTAGTAACAAAACGAAGATGAGTACACCATCTGCAGCCAGCTCCAGGACCAGAACAAGCCCACCAGACAGCAAGTGAAGAAATATGGATGTCAATAACTGGTGAAATTGAATTTATTTATAAATATATAAATAAATATATATTTTTCACAATATACCTTTCACGTTTGAACAATATAATATCATGTTCGTACAATATAAATATTATATTGTACGAACATGAAAAGTATATTGTTAGAACAATAAACTTTTCACGTTATAACGTGATATAGCTCTATTTTTCTTTTGCCTGGCTGGCAGCGCTACGCTTACGTACTCGGATGAGCTTGCCTCATCCTACAAGTTGTGCCTCCATCTCTTGAGTCCAGATTACATGCTGCACTGCCGTGCTGCTCCTTCTCTCTTTCATTTCTGTGTTTGTGCGTGCACAGTGTGAGAGGCTGCGTTGAGAGGCGACAGGATTTCAAACAGGTTTGATTATCATGCGACCATACAATTGATGATTGGGAGCTGGTCGTGAGGTGTTAACTGCTTTTCGTTAACCCATGTATACTACACGATGCACGACACGTAATTAAGGCAGAACTCGGGCCGATCCCCAAAACGGTTGCGCGACCGAAAAATTGGCTCAAAATGGGCCAAAAATCGCACAGTGTATGGCCAGCTTTTGGAGGCTAGCTCCAAACAAACATCTGCAGCTTGGCAGTGTTTACAGCACTATAATGACCAGACCTAATTCTTTTGAAAACCATACATCTTTTCACAGGTCTCAACTTCATCAGACATCACCTGGATGAGGCCAGCACAAACAGCGGCCTATTGGACGAAGATGATGGCTCCATGGGTCAGGAAAGCCAGAAGCAGGGGAGCTGGAGAGCTACCTTTCATGTCCTTTCACTGGAGGTGTTGATCTATTGCATGGCTTTCCTCACATCAAGAAGCTGTCGATCAAAACCAACACAGCTCTTCCTGCATCTGGAGCTTGTTCTCAGTCATGCAGGACTCCTGTTCACTGCTTAACAGTTACAGCTTCACAGAAAGAACCTTGAAAGCAAACTGCTGCTGAAGCTTAACCTGTTGGCATCATTGTGTCCTCTATTTTAATTAAATGCATATTTAGCTCAGGTTAATATATATATTAATTAATTAATATATATTAATATATATCTTCTAACATCTTGATCAGATGGCACGCACATTGAGTAAGACATTATGCACATAAAACACGGCATCCACAGGAGTGCACAATAAAAACAAACATAGTCAGACAAAGTTTACTTGTTGACTCTGAGTCGTGTTGGTCAGAAATCGCTTGTAATAATTTAAGACATTATCTCTTTTGGGGTTTTTTATGTTTAGAAAATAAAATAATTTAGTCTTTTGTTTAGTTGCTTTGTATTTTATTTATTTTGATAACTGTAATTAAAATCAAAGAAAATAGTTCTCATGCGCAGTCAGTGTGGGGAGCTGACGTTTCGGTATCAATCCGCAGACTGGTATAAAACCGCAGGAGCGCCAGAAACAGACTGTTGCTGTTCCGTCTGTGTTCTGTGTGTATAACTGAAGGTTGCACTAGTTTGGTCTTGAATTTTGAGTGCGTAGTCTTTTTTTCATAAAACCCGAAGCTCGTCTACAGGATCAAAGCAGGAGACATTGCCCATAAAACTATCGGACTGATTCGGAGAGTGCCTCTGTTCCGCTAAATTAAGATTAAAAGGTCAACCTTCTGTGTACGCACAGAACATGGATGACATCATCCGCACAGTCTTTACGGCTGTGCTATGGACCCTTGCCTCGTCCCATGAAGGTAAGTAGAAACCACATGTTTAAGTTAGAAGGCTTGTTTTCTCTGTGTAAAAGTTTCTGTAAACGGCCTGCTGGTTCTTGGATTTGCAGAGTCTCTATTCACTATTTAGTCACTATTTTTGTAACTATTTTTAGCTCTCAGTAACCAGAAGGCGAGCAGAGATGTGTGAATTATCGTTGGTGACACAAAACTGCGTGAGCTGCCGTTAAGCCAGCCTCAGCTTCGAGAAGCTTTTTTGTGTGTGTGTATACTAGATATTGTGGTAAGAGAAACCCACACCATATTTCAGAATAAAAGCCCTTCAGTCTCGCCTTATTTCCCCCCCGTCTCATTTAAAAATGATATTAAAAGTGAACTTCCTGTTTCCACAAACTAATTTCACCTTAAATTGACAGTACACATTTTCACAGAACTATTATCAATATCAAGTCAGTCTGATTTTTAGATTTCAAAGTAAGAGCCCTTGGAACGTGCTTATGAGCATTCTTTGAATTCAGAATGTCCTGTTTATACAAACTAATTTCACTTCAAATCAACAGTACACATCATCACAGTGCTCCTGGATTAATGTCAGTCTGGTTTTGGATTTCAAAGTGAGAGCCATGTAAAATGGTATATTATATATTTATTCTCGCTCCAAATGCCATTAAAAGGAAACTTCGTGTGTGTGTGTGTGTGTGTGTGTGTGTGTGTGTGGCTAGCTAGCTTCAATCCAAGTCAATGTTGAGTGACACAACCTCAACTTAAAGAGAAAAATGCTGAAATATGCTCCAACAATAAGCAAAGAAAAACAAGAGCACTTGCCTACATCAGTTGAAACTGTCCTGAACCGCCACTGTGCCTCAGAGCAGCAACATCTTTTGCTTGTATGTTTCCGTCCTCCATTTGACTACTTTTTTCTGTGTGTGTGTGTGTGTGTGTGTGTGTGTGGTGTGTGTGTGTGTTTGTGTTGGTTTTTTTTTGTTTCTGGGAAAATTTCCATTTTTACTCTTACCGAATTCTCACAATGTTTTCAGCTGATACCTCTTTGGAGTCATGTCTCTCTCTGATAACAAATTGTGCCAAACGTCACTGTCGGTGTCAACTCTGCCTCCTGTGGTTCAGCGGAGCTAGGAAGCCTTTCTATGCGAAAACCTTTCTAACCTCTGCTTTGTATTTTCATTCTTTCAGACCACAAAAACATCACAATTAAATCTGGACAGAACATCACTCTGCCATGTCGAGCTTCAAACACGTCCTTCATAGCTATAGAGTGGAGCAGATTTGACTTAAAGCCAGAATATGTACTTTTAAACCGCGACGGGCACTTTGACCCACACAGTCAGCATGTATCTTTTATGAATAGAGTTGACCTGCAGGAGAGAAAAATGAAGGATGGAGACGTGTCTTTGATTCTGAAGGACATGACGACTGATGACACTGGAACATACGAGTGTCTTGTCTTCATGGAAGAAACACACTCATGGAAGTCCATCAGCATCATCTACCTTCGTGTTGTTGATCCTCCAGGTGAGTGAGTAGAGTTGAGTGTGTGTGTGATCAGAGGTGAAGCTGCTTCCTGCTTGTTGTTTGTTTCTAAAGATGTTGTTGATGAGACTTTGTAGAAAGCAGCTGGTCTGAGTGATGTGATCAGAGTGCAGTAGATAATGTCTGACAGCAGTTTGAAGAGGAAATGGATTCTGTTCTGTTCTTCACTCATCACCTACCTGACAGCTGACACCTCACACCTGTTTCTCACCTGCAGGTCGGCCAGTAGAGAATCGACCTGTGGGACTGATCATTGGAGTCATCATTGGAGTGTCAGCTGTGGTGATTTTTGTGGCCTTTGTCATGTATAAAAATCCTGAAAAAAGACAAAACACATTTCTTGTTCCATCTTGTCACGAACGGATACGACATTGTTTCTGTAGACGAGCAGAGGCTCATGTAACATCGGCAGTAATATAATTTCCCTTCCTCTTCCCCTTTCATCCCCCTCCTTGAATTGCCACCTTATCGTGGTGGAGGGGTTTGTGAGCTCAGACGATCCTGGGAGCTGAGTTGTCTGGAGCGTTCAGCTCCTGGTAGGGTCTCCCATGACAAACAGGTCCCAGGTGATGAGCCCGACTGAGAGCAATTCAAAAAAAACATTGTCCCATTTGTACCAGTCATGTGGACAACAGCTAAATCTGATTTGGTGACTTAATGTTACCTAAGACATGATTGTGGGTTATAAAAACCTGTGATAATGAAAGGACGATATGTAACTGTTAAATGTAATAAAATGATTTAGACTTGAAACACCAGACCACACAACTCTGTACGAACACACCAACATGTTGGCTGGTTTGGACCAGGTAAAGACAACATTGTTTTATCCTGTAAATTCAGCTGTCATATTAACACAACACTGAAAGTATACCAGCTTTCTATAGACTGGGACACTTCAGGCTAAATTATGTGTTCACTGCATCTAAAAAAACAATGATGCTATGATGTTGTTGTGTTTATATCAGGTGATTTGTATGTTCATGTCAGTAAGAAATGAAATCAAAATTCTTAGATTGGCATTTATGTACAGTTTTATTGTTGCTGTGCACTGAAAGCAGCAGTTTGGAAATCAGATTGTTGTTTAAAATTTACTTGGAGAAATGTGTGTGGGTTTTTTTTTTGTTTTGTTTTTTTTTTCTCCCTCCTCTTCAGTACTTTGTGTGATCCTGATACTGACTGTGATCAGTGTGACTGGAGCCATGGTTGGTTTTCTGTCCTGCAGAACTGTTAATAAAAGCTGTTTGTTGCATGTTTGGTCTGTCTGGTCTCTCTGGTATCAATAACTCAGATTCTCAGTGGTTAAACCTTTGGGTGCTGGTTATTGGTGTTATTCCATCACACCAGAGAATACACGAGGGAGAGAGAACCAGGATGTTCATACTGCAGTTGAATAGAAAGATGGCACATCCAGCAAGTGCAGGGAAATGTGAGGAAGGTGTAGATTTTAATGAAGGTGAGCTAAGAGACTTTATGAACTACAAGACCTTTTAACCAGTGAATCCAGTTATTTAGTTTGACTAAAACTAGATGTGGGGAAAAACCCAAAACATTTTGGTTAAAAAAGAAACTAAATTATTGGGGGGAAAAAATAAGTGATCTGTTTTCTTCTTTTTTTTTTTTTTTTTTAACTTTAAAAATTATTAACTACAATAGAACAGGAAGTTAATTTTATTACCCTAAATTTAAAAAAAAATCTCTAATTTTGAAAATTAAGACTTTCAAATCCCATGAGCCAAACATTTTTCACAACAGAACATAAATAACAAATGTTAAAACTGAGAAATTTTACAATCCAATCATTTCAAATTTGATGCCTAATGTAAGTCTCAAAAATGCTCTTTTAGACAGGCAGAGACCTTCAAAAGACTCATTTGACGTGGACTGTTTCAAAGTGGGAAAGACTTCTGTGTTCAGACAAATCCAAGTTTGACATTCCTCTTGGTAATCGCGTATGCCACATTCTCCGAGCTAAAGAGGAGGGAGACCTAGAGTTCAGTTCAAAAGCCAGCATCTCTGATGGTGTGGAGGTGCGTAAGTGCATACGGTATGGGCAGCTTGTATGTTTGGGAAGGAACTATGAATACTGAATGTTTATAAAGGTTTTAGAGCAACATCTGCTCCCCTCCAGATGATGTCTATTTCAGGGAAGGCCTTGTTTGTATTTGAGCAGAACAACACAAAACCACATATTGCAGCTACAACAGCATAACTTTGTCAGAGAAGAGTAGAACTAAGTCCTTCTTCACTGTGTTTCAAAAGAAGCTTCATGAAGGGGGGAAGGGAGCAAAGTTATGCTTCACAGCATAAACCACACTGTGAGCAAAGAGAGTTGAAAGGCCTCCCACACTGATACTGACTGTATGAGATGCATCTCATTCCAAAGACAAACATGTGACAGTCTCATGAAGTTAAAGAGCTCAGGCTCTGCTTACAAGCTGCACATCAATTAAAAACCATAAATAAAATTTAAAAACCATACAATAAACAGACAAAGAAATAAATAACAATAAAACAAATACATGAATGAAAACAGAAGATAAAAATAAATCAGTATATATTACAAATGTGACTGAAACCTTTATCAAAGCAACACCAAAACTCCAGCAAGTCATAAGTTTGATGCTCAGACACCTTCAAACTGATATGAAAAGAAGAGGAGATGCTACACCCTGGTAAACAGGCCCCTGTCCCAACTATTCTGAGACCTGTAGCAGGCGATTTGAAATGAGCTCATTCAGTGGATGATGATGTAAAATATCTCACATTAAATGTAGTATGTTATTTGTGTTCTGATAAATGTTGGTTCATGTAATTTGAATGTCTTTTAGTTTTCATTTTGTTCAAATTTAAAGAATGTCCCAACTTTTGTGGGTTTCAGGTTGTAGTTTAGTTTGGTAAAAATGTTTTCGCTGCCTGATGAGGCACTGATAAGAGTTTTTTATGACTTATTACAACTGCAAGTCAGACTGAGCCTGTGCAGATGCCTCTGTGTCAGGAAACATCTTCATCTTGCTGTGGGGTCAAGTGATCAGTTACTGATAAATTTGCTTAATACAGCTTAGAAAGGAAACACAACTCACAGTCTGCATGTGAACACACACATATTCCACCTTCACTTTATTCTCATTAGTTATGTTGTTTGCTGAATCAGCTACAAGCTTGGATCCAGGAGACTGACACTATCTCTACTTTTAAGACTAGTTTTAAAACTTTCATTTGTGATAAAGCACATAGTTTGGGCTGGATCAGCTGTCCCTGAATCCTCCCTTATGCTGCAAAAGGCTGCTGGGGGATTCCCATGATGCACTGAGTGTTTCTTCTGCAGTCAAATGTTTCACTCTGTTCTTACACACAACTCTGCATTTAATTATTAGTTATTATTGATACTTGTTTCTCTTACACACTGTGTCTTTGTCCTGTCTTCCTCCCCTCACTGCCAACCAGTTGCAGTTTTTCTCACTTTCTTCGAATCTACACCCACTACGCCATATTGACAAAGTCTAATATAGGGTGCGGTTGATTAATCATTCACTCATTTGACTTTAGAGATACCTGAAGCTTTAAAATAGGAAAGGATAAAGTGGATCAGCAGGGAGAGGAAAACACAAGTGTGTATTTTTTTAACCTCTATAGAGACATTATATTATAGATACATGTTTATATGATGTGCAAGAAACAGCACAGTTTGTGTATCAGTGAATTATGAGTAGTTCAACTTCAGGAAGTTTCATCCTGGTTAAACCTCATAAAAAACGTCCACCACCACTTTATGAAGCAGCCGGCTAAGAAAAAACAAACAAACAACTTTTCTTCAAAGTCAAGGAAAAATGATTAATCAAAGACAAAGGAAGGATGTTTTTGTTTTGTGGCATTTTAACCACAGCTCTGGGGCCGTTCTTCGTACGTCGCTTACTACATCCAAGATCAAATGACACATCCAAGACCAAATCATCACGCTAACCGTGAGCTCGCTAATCCGGTTCTCCGAACACACCTGTTGTTGACGATTAGTATAGCTGGATTAAGTAATGTGAGATCACTGGGTGGCTTAACAGGGGCTACGCATCGATAGTAGAAACATTTATTGGCAACCCTTTGATTGGTCGGCGAAAATGTCGAAGGAGCGCGCTCGGTATTTTTCGGCAGCAGAGCAAGAACTCTTGATTGAGGGATTTCAGGAGTTTCAGAGTTTAATTAAAACGCAAGGGAACACTGCAAAGGCTGCAAAAGCAAGGAGAGAGGACTGGCAGAAAGTTGCTGACAAATCAAACTCGTAAGTAATTTAATAATAACAATAATAATGGAGTGGATTGATATAGCGCTTTTCAAGGCACCCAAAGCGCTTTACAATGCCACTATTCATTCACTCTCACATTCACACACTGGTGGAGGCAGCTACGGTTGTAGCCACAGCTGCCCTGCGGCAGACTGACAGAAGCCAGGCTGCCATATCGTGCCATCGGCCCTCTGGCCAACACCAGTAGGCGGTAGGGTAGATTTATTATATTATATTACATTATATCCTCTTTCACATTAGAGCCACAACAGGACCCACTAGAACATGGGAACAAGTAAAAGTGAAATATAAGAATATTCTACAGAATGGTAATATTTATCACTTATATTGCTTTTAGTCTCTTGGAAAGAGACCCTGAAATAATCTGTTAGTTTGTTCATAACAGCAACCAAGAAAAGGGCGGAGCAAACAAAGACAGGTGGTGGTCCTGCACCCCCTCGTCAACAAGTTGGTTAAGTGAATAATACCCTCACGGGAATATCGATATCTCTCAATGAGCACACTGTCGCGCTGAGGTAAAGGATCCTGTCTATCCCGCAATATACGCTGGATTCTGAAAACTCTCCTTATCAATCTTGCACCTTCCGCAATGGGTTGGTCGCGTATATGGACAGGACATGGCTGCGACAGACTTCCCAAATCCACCTTCGCTTTTATAGCCGTGGTCTCTCATCTTGATTACACAAAGTAATTTGCAATTACTACTCTGAAATATGAATTACATCTGTAATAATCACATACATGTAATAGAATGTTAATAGTTCATTTCCCTTTTTTAGGAAATGACCTTTATGTATCTGTGTGAAATCAATAAAAGGATCAAGTGCTGCATTATCTTTAGTTACATTGATGTTATTTATTTATGGTGAAACAGTGGTGGAATATCGCTGTTGCTTTCGTATAAATGAAGCGGACATACCTGCGTGGCCGCGATCTAGTCCTGTTTACATAAAGTAAACCTGCTCCCGAGCAGGTTTACGCTTACAGCTCTGTTGCTATGACAGCAAGTCCCGGATGAGCTTCGGGGAACCGAACGATCCAAGATCACGCGAAATCGTCAACAATCAAATCCAGCTAACTTAGCGAGGTACGAAGAACGGGCCCCAGGCCTGAGATTTGAAATAATGTGCCAGTTGTTGCATGTCTTGTTCTGTTTAATTTCATAAAAGTATTTCTTGTCATGATGCATAGTATGAAATAATTTAGTTCAGCCAAACAGGAAACAGATGGTTCTTCTTAAAATAAAAGGGAAAAACTGCTGCTGATAAAAGAAGCTGCATCATTAATTTAACAGGAGAAGAATAGATATCAAATCAGCTCTCTGACCGGTCAGAACCGGCTCTGTACATATGTTAGTGCCAAGTTCCTGCTCTCATGTGAAATGTGCACAGTCTCCTCAGTGTGTTGCTACTGTATAGATAAACTAAGAGCAAACACACAAAAGTAGTTACGCTGAGGCTGTTTTGGATTCAGATGATTTCATTTATTAATAAGTTGTTGTTCATTAACAACATTCAAGAGAGACAAAGAAAGTCAAACTGTTTCACTGTTTTGCTGCGACATAGCAGTCTAACAGCCGGGTGGGAAGCTCCCAACACTTCCTGTCTGCTTTCAGTCATTATAAATATTTTAATGAGATAAAGATCCCTGTGTGTGTGGCTCTGATGGATTAACAGAAGCTTTGCTGCTGAACTGTGTTTGGAGCCTCATGTTGATGCCACTAACAAAGAAGTTCACCAAAGTCTGTTCTTTTTAAGGAAAATGAGATCTTTTAATGTATCATCTGACACGTTGTCCTTGTTTTTCAGAAGTTTTATTGAACCTATTATTTCTTTCTGTATTGCTGCTTGGTTTGGTAACAAGAATCTGAAGAACAAGACTTGGTTTGGACTTTTGGTAAAAACTGCCAGCAAAGTCTCAGGGCATCGGCAAGATTTTTGCATTTCTAACATGATTAAAGTCAATTTTGATTTTCTTTAGGTGCATTTAATCAAAGCAGAGCACTAACCGACAGGAATGTCTGAGCTGGTGTGTACTGTGAGCTGGGCTGGGAGCTCCTGGCTTTTTACTTCTTGTACTCATTGTTGTGATTGCTGCTCTTTTGGTTTGTAGAAAACTGTAAATAGACAAATTCATTCCAACATCTCCCAAATGGACCAGCTGGCAGCTTTTCTGAAACCTCAGTATTTTTTCTTCTTCTGTGATTAAGACGATGAAAGCACCAGCCTCATGTGACCTCAAGTATTAACAACAACAGCACAGCTTTTAACACTCCATTGTCACCAAGCCTTTAATCTAGACCTCCTGAGACATTTCCAACATCGTGTGATGCTGGAAGCTCCTGTGCTGCCACCTACTGGATGATTTATAAAACAGCGGTCACTGTGAGTGAACATTAAAGCTCAGTTGACAAGTTCAGATGTAGGAGTAAGTGAGGAGGCTTCCGAATGAAAGACTCAAAGTTTTTGTGAGTGTAGGAACACTGGGTTGTTTTTTTGTTTCATTTGCACTAAAGTAAAATTGTTGAGTGCTTTCTGAACTAAAGTTAAAATGAAATTTATCACAAATATAAACATATGAAGAGAAAAAAACTGAAACAAATCTGCAAAGATACACAGAAAAGAAGGTCAGACATCAACTAAGGAGAAACACAAGGACAAATGGAACAATATTATCATCCCTTATGTAGCAGGTTTATCAGAGAAACTCAGGAGAATCTTCTCCAAGCATGACATCCCAGTGTACTGGAGACTCAGCAACACACTCAGACAAAAACTGGTTTGTTCTAAGGGCAAAACTCCCAAACACAAACTTAACAACGTAGTATGTGCTGTACAGTGTGGCGAGGAATGCTCAGACCTCTACCTTGGAGAAACCAAACAGCCGCTCCTCAAAAAGTTGATTCTCTTCATCTGGACGTAGCGTTTTCAGTGGGAGAAATTTTTTGTCACTAATCCAAGTGACTTCTTCAGTCTCAGCTGACTGGAGGTTTCCCCACTCTTATGAACAGTACATTTGCACAATGACTGAAACCAGCCCACTGAAGGAACAATGGGCTGGGAGGTCATTTCCTTGATTATTAATATACAAATTCTCATGACCATTGATCAACAACCACTGATCAATGGCCATGAGTACCATTCACAGAGAGTTGGGGAATGGCTGCAATCACAGCATTGTAAGATGGTGACAGATGTCTCGTTAGGCCCCCTCCTCGATTCAGAGATGGTCTTTCCCTTTTCATGTAAATGGCCTCCTTGACTCCGAGCTCAAACCAGCGTTCCTCCCTGTCGAGGATGTGTACATCCTCATCACTGAAAGAGTGTCCACTGGCCTGTAGGTGTAAATAGACTGCAGAGTCCTGGTCTGATATGTTAGCTCTTCTTGCCTTTCACAAATATCAAAGCTTTGACTAAAGTCCAGCTGGGATAACCACATTTACTCAGGGCCTTCTTGATGTGATGTTCTTGTTCTGGCCGCTGAGGACACACTCCATATTTCGCTGTGGCTTTCCAATGGACAACAAGGAAGTCAAACTAATGTAGCGTAGCTCATGTCACATTCAATTGTTTGATTGTTCAACTGGTCAATGGTATGAAGTGGAAAAGAGGGTTTTTCCATTTGATACGAGACAATAATATAAACCACTGCAGCACAGTACCTGTTATACCTATAGCATGTAATCACTTTAATAAAATATTATGGTCAACAGTATTGTTCGCTGCACTGTCTATCAGGACACGCAGAGATGAGTCCACTGTCAGAGGCCATAAGATCATTTGTAACCTTCACTAATGCTGTTTCTGTTAGTCTCATTCATGAGCAGTATTAGTTTTCTTTTAAGATCCAGAAGTCTGTGATGTGTTTCATAGTCTGTAGCAAGTGTTTTACAATTAAAGGACCAAATAAATAAATCCACCCCACACAAATCAGATGTTACTCTGATTTTATTTTTGAGTAAACTCCAAAAATTCTAACAGAGAGCTGGTGCTTAGAATACAGTTGAATAAATATTAAAAAGAGATGATTTAATCATTTATGTACAGGCTGGAGTCTTCATGATCAACATGCTGGTTCAGATGCTGATCCTCTCAGTGGAATCGCACTCTCTCTTTCCTCCTTGTATAAAAAAAGATTTTTAATGTTAATTTAAATTCAAAATTCACAGTTTAAAAAGAAATCCAGCATAAATGAACATGTTATAATAAAGAAAAGTAAATGGTTGAGTCTAACATGTGCTCCAGTGAGACATTAAACGTCAGTAAAACTATGCAGTTATGAAACGTAACTTTAATCTGAGCAAAAACAAATTTGCTCAGTTGTAAATAAAACAGTGAAGTAAACGTGACCTGACAGACAGGACCTGAGTGAATGAAGTCCAGTGTTTAACCGATGAGAGCTGAAACTCAGCAGAGGTTTTAAACCTGTGTGCTGGTGATTGGACATCAGCCGCTGATAAAGTGGTTTCGCTTATAAAGTGCTCTGTAGTTTTCTAAATGTCCATCTCCTCCTTCTAAATCCTGTTTGTCATCTTTAACCCTGATCAATCACTCTGAAGGAAACACAACGTCCAGCAGCTCTGCGCTCAGAAAGCAAATGACATTTATATATTTTGTGAACAATATTCCACCAAGATTACAGTATATCGAGCTGCAGCTGCCCACGTTAAACTGTGACTATCACCAGGTAACGTGGTCCTGATTTCTGAATTAGCAGCAGGTGTTAAACAGCTGAGAGGTGAGCAGGATGCATGCAGGTAAACTGAGGGTCCTTCGAGCTGATCGCCGGTGTCATGAGGAAATTGTCAGCTCGTTATTTATGTCACAGAAACACAGACATGTGACCAGGCGGAAATTTGGGGCTGTGGGCTCGGTACACTCTGTCAGCTGACTGTTAGCGAAGCTAGCAACATTGCTAAAAACATCGGAGCAAACAAACTGTTGACAACCTGACATGTGAAGACTACGCCACTACATTCTCGGCTAAAACAATGCGGTCTTAAAGTCTGACGTCATTAGTGTCAAATGTGTTAATAATTTATTAATTAAATAATTAATTAATAAATTAAATGTGTCATTAATTAAATCAAATTATAATTAATTAATGAAACATTTAATTAATTATTTATTTTGTCACTCCTGGCCCTCCATTATGGTGCGCCCCATCTTATATATTTATATATATAAGTATATATGCAGTATTAAGCAAAAGTCAAGAAATGTTAGGTACACACTGTGCGTTCTTCCTATTGAAATATATTGCTCACAAATTCATGCTGACTGACCTGGAAAACATTACAATTTGTGTTCATGTGTCAATGATTAGATTTCTGCTAACCAGTTCTTGAGCTGACTGGGTTGATTTTCCAGACTTGCAGGTCAGGTTGAATGACACTAGTTAGGCACTGCCTACAAAGGAAAGGGCTGCTAAACCCTCTCCTGTCTGGAAGCTTTTGGAATCAGAATTGGGATCTGAATGCTGTGGTTCTGAACACATTTTACTTTTGCAAGAGCAGCTATATAGTCTAGGTTCCCCTTGTTTATTTATTCATTTCTATGTGTTGTTTCAGTTATTACATTATGAATAGTATGACAATGCCTCATCCAGTGTCAGGCCACCCGGACTCTTGGACTCCTTCATCTTTGTTGTGGCCTTCTGGAGGTCATCCTGACTAATTGGACGGATGCAGTCATCTGAAAGGCTGAGAGAAAGAAATCAGACGTTTAGCAAACAGCAAGTGAACTTCTGAACTTTATAAGAGCAGCTCTGCATCACTCAGTTCAATCATAAAAAATGCCTGCACACTGAGAGAGTGAAAAGGAAAAAAAGATGATTTTCACTTGTGCTGTATTTGTCCTAATTAGCATGAAAAAGTGAATATCATCAGAATATTTATTTTATTAGTAATTGATAATACCTATTTGTCAAAATATTGACTTTGATCATTTTAAAACATTTAACGTCCTGTCACTCTACCCACTCTGACCTGGAAATACCAAACACCTACGTGTCAGAATCCATGATTTCTCGGACACACAGCAGTGCTGCCTCACGACAAATCTCTTTGAGGTCACTTCCTGAGAAACCTTCAGTTTCCCTGGCGATGTGGCTGAGGTTAGTCAGTGGATCCACCTACAGAGGCAGAATCAGTCTATCAATGAATCTAGGTATCATTGTAAATCCGAATTTACCATTTAAAACTCACATTCAAAGGCTTGTGTCTAAGTTAAAACTAAAACTAAGTTTAGAAATCAATCCTGTGTGTGCCTCCAGGTGAGAAACACTTGATTCGTGCAACTGTTTTACCTTTATTGGATTATGGTGAGCTGCTTTTTCTGAATGCACCAGCCCACTAACTAAAGGGGTTATGGAAATCGTCTACATTATTGTTCTGTGTATGCTGCTGCTCCATGTCCTTCTCTTATATTTGCAGGCTTTCCCATTGGTTGGTCTTTATCTATAAATCTCTCCCTCTTATTTATGTGTTTATATGCATAAAAATCATAACAATGCAGCCCTTGTTCTCACAATATCATACAGTTGATTGTCCCACACATCAAAACACAATTAGGAGTTAGGCTTTGAAATACGCCGCCTCTGTCTCCTGGAATAATCTGCAAAAGGAACTGAAATTGTCAGAAATGGTTACCTTCAGTAAAAGAATGAGAGAACAACTCTTTTAGTCAGCGTGATTTTTTAATGCCACTCTTAACTGATCTGTTATTGTATGTTTTTTTTACACGTTTTTTACTTGATATCGTATTTTATTTTTATTTTTATGTGGTACATGTATTATTGACTTTTGCTGCCATGATGCCAGGTCTCTCTTCGAATTGAGATTTTTACCTGGATAAATAAAAGACTAATACTACATGTTATTCATCTTCTTTCCCTAGCTTCTTTTTCCAGTGTTCTCATCCACTGTTTGTTCCTTACCCCTTTCCTCCGTCATACCCTTTTCTAGTCCATTTTCCCTTACATTTCCTGACTCCTTCTCATTTCCCCCTCATTGCCTCTCTCAAAACATTTTTTTCCAGTTCAATTCAGTTTCGTTCATACAGCGCCAGACAAGACAAAGACATGCTGTGAAAGAGACCCCGAGATTAATAACAACTAATGATTCAATGTAGTGTCTTCTATTAAACCATGGGTGAGAGAACTTCAGGCCCGTAGACCTAGGCTGTGTCCCAGTTAAGAGACTGCACGCTTGAAGTACGCGCACTACGCGTACTACGTACGGTGCGTACTATAAGTACGAGAAGTGCGGAAGTGAGAGGCGGTATGGGACGGTATACGCTTCGTCGTGCTGTTCAGGTTACCTAGCAACCATGATACTAACCGCGAGACACGTTACATACAGCTTTGTTTGACAGAAATTAAGGAGAAAAATGTTTTATTGGTCATTCATTTTTGTCATGACATCACTTTGATTAGGTGAGTATCTGAGGCTGATAGCACAGGACTGTAAAACATGATTGTTGGGCTTCATTTCTGTGCTGAACAGTCATTTCAAGATTAGTTAGTAAATAACAATTAGTTAATGTTGTTCATGAGACTAAAGTCATCTCACTGTGGTAATGTAAATATAATATCGCCAATATTATAGTATTGTCAGATTATTATGATATATATATATATATATATGACTGACTTTAATTATTACACATTCGCACATAAATAAGTGACGTCATATTCAGTACTTTTGACAGTTCACTCTTCGGCCGCTCCATAGGGAAATTCCATATACACTCAACAAAAATATAAACGCAACACCTTTGTTACTGCTCCCATTCCCCATGGGATGGACGTAGAGACCTAAAATTCATTCCAGATACACAATATAACCATCCCTCCCAAACAGTGGTCACAAATCAGTCCAAATGTGTGGTAGTGGGCACATCTGCCATATTGAGATAATCCATCCCACCTCACAGGTGTGCCACATCAGGATGCTGATCTGACATCATGAGTAGTGCACAGGTGTACCTCAGACTGCCCACAACAAAAGGCCACCCTGGAATGTGCAGTTTTGTCTCACAGCAAAATGCCACAGATGCCACAAGCAATGAGGGAGCGTGCAACTGGCATGCTGACAGCAGGAATGTCAACCAGATCTGTCGCCCGTGCATTGAATGTTCATTTCTCAACCATAAGCCGTCTCCACAGGCGTTTCAGAGAATATGGCAGCACATCCAACCGGCCTCACAACCGCAGACCTCGTGTACCCATTGAGCATGTTCGGGATGTGCTTGACCGGCGTATACGACAGCGTGTACCAGTTCCCACGAATATCCAACAACCTCGCACAGCCATTGAAGTGGAGTGGACCAACATTCCACAGGCCACAATTGACAATCTGATAGACTCCATGCGACGATGTGTTGCACTGCATGAGGCAAATGGTGGTCACACCAGATACTGACCGGTTCTGGGTCCCCAGACCCCCAATAGCGCAAAAAACTGCACATTCCAGGGTGGCCTTTTGTTGTGGGCAGTCTGAGGTACACCTGTGCACTACTCATGATGTCAGATCAGCATCCTGATGTGGCACACCTGTGAGGTGGGATGGATTATCTCAATATAGCAGATGTGCCCACTACCACACATTTGGACTGATTTGTGACCACTGTTTGGGAGGGATGGTTATATTGTGTATCTGGAATGAATTTTAGGTCTCTACGTCCATCCCATGGGGAATGGGAGCAGTAACAAAGGTGTTGCGTTTATATTTTTGTTGAGTGTACATAAATGTAAATTTCAAAACTCAACCCCATCATTTAATTTGCTTTTGATTGAAATTTAATATTACTTAAACTCTCTTAAATTGACTTCCAATAAAAAAGGTTTATCATTGATTGAAATTCATTCAGAAATGTTTAACGACTGAGCTGTCACAACTTTCAAATACAAAGTTGTTATGAAGTCTGTCACATTCCCCCTCTTTTTTCTTTTTTTTTGCCTTTATTTATTTATCCTTCTTATTTCATTGTACTGTATATTGTTACTCTTATTTGTATGTCTACTGTACAAACTGAACTGGAATGACTGACTGTTCGCTTTATGATTTCAATAAAGTTTGGAAAAAAAACACCCTCTTCGGCTGCTCCCTTCTGCCGTATTTTGCGGCAAAATTATCCACACCCACCGCCGCGCTATGAATTGTGGGATATATGGGACTATGAAGTGTTCACCGGACCACGCTTGATATTTGGGGAAATCGACGGCGCATTTGGAGTATGCATTTGAAGCACACTTCGAATTGGGACAGCCGTCGTCGCGTGGTGGAGACGTAACCGCACTTAAAATGCGTACTTCAAGCGTGCAGTCTCTTAATTGGCACACAGCCCTAGTGTCCTGCAGGTTTTAGATGTGTCCTTAATCTAACACAGCTGATTTAAATCGATAAATGACCTCCTTAACATGTCTTGAAGTTCTCCAGAGGCCTGGTAATGAGCTAATTCATTTAATTCAGGTGTGTTGACTTTAGGCCCGCCCCTATTTTCTCATATTAAGTGAGAAGAAGAAGAAGAAAATCTCAATGTATCATGGGAACCCCCCAGCAGCCTACACCTACTGCAGCATAACTAAGGGAGGATTCAGGGTCACCTGGTCCAGCCCTAACTATATGCTTTAGCAAAAAGAAACGTTTGAAGCCTAATCTTGAAAGTAGAGATCGTGTCTGTCTCCCGAATCCAAACTGGAAGCTGGTTTAATAGAAAAGGGGTCTGAAAACTGAAGGCTATGCCAGGAAATTAAAGGCCATCCAGGTCTTTATGTCTTTAAGACATTCCTGCAGTTTAACTAATTGGTGTGTGTTATCTCACTTCATAGATAGACAGACCTGGGTGTCATCTGCATGGCAGTGGAAATGTATGCTAGGTCTTCTAATGATGCTGCCTAAGGGAAGCATGTATAATGTAAACAGAATTGGTCCTAGCACTGAACCCTGTGGAACTCCATAATTAACCTCAGTGTGAGAAGAGGACTCTCCATTTACATGCACAAATTGGAGTCTATTAGATAGATATGATTCAAACCACTGCAGCGCAGTACCTGTAATACCTACAGCATGCTCTAATCGCTCTAATAGGATATTATGGTCGACAGTATCGAATGCTGCACTAAGGTCTAGCAGGACAAGCACAGACATGAGTCCACTGTCAGAGGCCATAAGAAGATCATTTGTAACCTTCACTAAACCTTTCCTTTTCTTCACTCATTTTTATTATTGTGGATTTAATGTTTCTTTGGCTTCATGTACTAACTACATTAAAAGAGCAGAAGAAGAACCATGTTGGTAAAATAATGTAAGATCATAAGGATTAATATCTCAGTCACATGACTTTTTCCCTTTTGCTGTGAACTTACCGTCTCATTCTCCAGGATCAGTCTGACTATCTGCTTGCACTGCTCAATGTTCTGCAGAAACAAACACACTGTCAGACTAGTTTTATCCTCACACACCCCTGTCTGACAGTGGTGTGAGCCATAGATTATGTCTCATATGCTGGTACATGCCGCCTTTACGGTATCACTTCAGCTGGTCATGCACCACTCTGTTTTTGTAACCTAGCACATTGTTTCACGGCCACCACCGCAGATGAAGACATGAGTGTTAGAGCTTTGTCAGTTTTTGCTGCATTTTAATGATGTATCATTAGAGAAACACAAGACTTCTTGGGATGCTTTTCTTTAGGTTTGACGTCTTCACTGCTTTATTCCTTCTAATGTGGTGATATTATCTGAGTAGTGACACCTGCCATTCAGGAGAATACATCAGCACCCTGTGCCTTAACAGGATAAATAGAAATGAATGTGTGATGATGTTGCCACGGCACGCAAACCGACCAATGCAGAGGGTACACTGCTGCGTTCAGTATGCTTTTTGTTTGTTGGTTTGTTTTAAAAAAACAGTTAGACTTATTTTAAGAGGACATACAGGCAGCTTGATGTGGATCTTGGTGGGCATCCTCCTCAAGATGGCAGGGTCTATGTCCTCAGGACGATTGGTGGCTCCCATAATGATCACCTGACAAAGTACACTTTCAATCAGATTTACATACAGACCGAATCTTCGAAGAACATTTTATTGATTATCTGATCATTTATGTTCAGGATTCACATATATTGCGTAGATTATGGAGAGAAATTGGGTTCTAAAGGGTTGCAAATAGGGGTGGTTTTAAAAAAAAAATCCCAATTCTAATCGATTTTAGGTCTTTAGGGTCTTTCTGTGTGGAGTCAGCTGACATCTGGGATAGGCTCCAAAGCCCCCCGCAACCATGAAAAATATAAGTGGAAGCAAATAGATGGATGGATAATTGATTTTAATTTGAATAATCCAATACTGATTCATTAAATCCTAAAATCAATTTTTAAATATAAATGTATTTTAGCAGAATCTCAGCTTAAAGCTCACAAAACTATTTTAACAACCTCCAAACTGTTAAAAGAGCAAACGATTAAAGAGCAGGTAAATGGATTGATTCTCTAAAAAGATGTAACCATAAAACGCAAATCATTTACTCGTACACGCCGTTGGCATGAAAGCAAACATCTTATTCTGAAACTGCAAAAAGTTGATGCAAATTTAACTGAACTATGAGCAAAAATGGCTAAAAACTACAGTTTTGCTTTATGGCCTATGGAAGTGAGTCCTCAAACGTTACACACAAATTCCTGTAAACATTTGTGAATCAATTTATGCTTGCGGATCACCCTGTATGCATTTGCAACCCTTTTGAGACAAATTCCTCTCCATAATACGTCCACAGCTCAGTGAATTTCTTGAGACTCCATATTGAACCTAAACATTTCAGACGTGTGCATACCTGGCACTGGTGGTCTGTTTCGAGTCCATCCCACAAACTCATAAACTGAGCCTTCATCATAGCTGTGACTTCATGATCTCTGCTGGATCGACTCCTCAGAAAGGAATCTGTTCATACACACAGTTTTATCATCTCAGTTATGATTTCATTGTTTGAAAATGTTTTGCCTCTTTTTTTGCTTCTATGGTATTTGTCAAAATGTATACAGTTAAGACCAAATATTAAAATACATTCACGTCTCTCTTTGAACCGTTTGTGCAGACCAAATTCACTGAAAGCAGAATCAGTTTCTTTATATGTTTAATTTATGTTTAAGAAAATTCTAAATTTTAAGGTAGTACATGGAAAATATCGCCACTAAATGTTAGCAGGTTGTAGTCAAGTGAATTTTGTTTTCTTTCCCTTCCCAATTAAATTGTATAATCCTACAGTGTCATGGTCCTGGCTCATTTGAACCAGTGTTTTGTGTTTTTGTATTTTCGTGTTATTTTGTGTTATAGTTTATGGTTAAGTTTCTTTAGTTAGTCTTGAGTTAATTCCTATATTGCCAAGGTTTTTCTGTTTAGCTCCTTCATTACATGTTATTTATTTATTTGTCTTTGCCCTCTGTGCCACTCTCCATCTCTGTCTGTCTTTATATATGTTGTGTGAGCCTCTCTAGGAGCAACTTGTTTCCTTCCTTGTCTTCCATTCTATGTTTCCCGTCATGTCTCCTCTCGCTCGTGTCCCATCGCTCCCTCTCGTCTGCCTCTCCTCTCCATCATGTTCCTCTATTTCTTGTTTTATTGTGAAGGCCCTATGTCCCTGTAGCTGTGTCCCAAAACCTAGGCCGCATCCTCCTGAGGCCGCATTTGAAGGCTGATTACTTCACAGCCAGCGATGAAGCCTGTCCCAATTCAAAGGCCGCTCCAAATGCGTCCTTCATTTCCCTGGATTTGAAGGATGGGTTATTTTCGTTTCAGCTAATAAAACTTTATATAATAAAGCTGTTTTGAGTTAACATCCTGCCTACGGGCCTGCATTTGGATCCTTTCCTTCCTGCACTACACAGTCGATTCATGACATAAAGTGGGCATTGTAAGCAAAACACACAGTTTAACAAAAACAAAAACTATTTTTCAAACTTAATTTGTCAAACTGATTTCCACTTTATCAGAGAGAGATAAACTGTATGTGTGTGTGTGTCTTTCTCACCTATCTCGTCGATGAAGATGATTGTTGGGCCCAGTTTGGAGGCCAGTGAGAACACAGCAGCAGTCAGTTTCTGGGACTCTCCGTACCATTTATCTGTCAGCGTGCTCGGCTTCAAGTTGATGAAAGCAAAGCCCGCCTCTTTTGCTGTTGCCTTGGCGATGAGTGTTTTACCACATCCTGGGGGTCCATACAGCAGCACACCTGTGTGAAGACAGTGGGATTTTGTATTATTTTGCCGATTGCTAGAAATCAAACTACCATGAAAGTAACAGCTTGTTGCTCGCCTACGGACTCAAATGTCCCATCGATGGCAATAGCTCATCTCTCTCACACACACTGTGGACACATAGGGCTGGGTATCAGCTCTGATTTCTATGACTGATTTGATTTCGATTCACAAGGTCCCGATTTATCCCATTTCCTGATTCAGTTTGATTAGATTCAATTCATTTCAGGTTGACTCAGACAGTGAGAGATATTATAATTCTGATCATTTATTAGTACATATCAGAATCAGAATACTTTATTAATCCCTAAGGAAAATATGTGGGTTGCCGTTGCTCCAAGACAGTAACAGACTAGACTATTTAACAATAAGTTACAGATACAGATTTAAGAAATATCTTTTTTTTTTATATATAAGAACAAAGCTGGCACTTGTGAGTTTTCATCAGGGGTGTGAGAATCACAGCAGAAGCCTTTGTGTCAAAGTAACTGAGGATAAAACACAGATAAACATGAAATTATGTTCATCCACCTCCTTCTCCCTGGTGTCCTAGACCTCCTTCTCCTTCTCCTCAACCTCTTCCTTTGCATGTCTTTGGATCCATTGTTTCAAACCTGAATGAGCTGACTTTGGCCCTTTTGTCCATCAAAGTTTCTGATTGGTGTGTGATACATTTTGACTTCGTAATTGTGTAGTAACTGAGCTAAAGCTGTGCTGATTCGAGTTAACATTACTGACTGCTTTCTAAGTGACAACATGGTGTCAGCACTGACAAATGTACGAATATGTGTGTAGAGTTTTACAGTAACAGTTCACCATATCTGACTCATGTGGTAAAGCAGCAGCATAGTGTTTATAGTTCAGGGAAATGGCTGTGCTTTTTGGGAAGTGGCATTAAGGTTTTGAAATTTGGGTTCACAAGATTGGTTGTAGTGTTTAAGCAATTCAGAAAAACGTTATTATTATTATTATTATTATTATTATTGTTATTATTATTATTATTATTATTATTATTATTATTATTATTATGTTTTTGTTGTTTTTAATAGTTTTCTTTTTTCCCTCTGTCTGAACTTATGCCTTAACAAAGTGACAAAGTCCACACCACTATAATAAATACGTTTATGTTTGTGTCTTATTCACACACCCAGGGTTCTTAGCCAAACTTACTTCTGGTTCTCTTATTACAGATTACGCTGCATTCAGGAGCCCTAGTCCTTTACTGCATATATCAGGGAGTCAAGTAGTTTTTTCAGAGCACCTACAGTATTAAGAGTTGTACACAGCAAACACACAAAATGCAAGACACACTAATTTGCTAAGCTATGATGTAATGAAACTATCAATTATAGTTACCAGAGTACTAAAGAAAGTTTAATTATTTGTTAAACAAATACTTTCACAATCAACACACACAAGCAAACAATAGCAAAACCAAGCGGCAATCCCAACACTTCTAATTTTAACCTGCACAGTCTTGAGCCTTTTGTCAAATCACATGCCAAACATTTGGGGGTTATATTTGACAGCAATTTCACCTTTGAAAAACAAATTAGCTCAGCCGTACAGCGGTCTTTCTTCAAACTGAGGCTTTTACCTAAGGTGAGATCATTTTTATCTTTTAAAAACTTTGAACGAGCGATTCATGCTTTCATTATATCCCAGCTGGACTATTGTAACTCCTTATATGCTGGAGTCAGCCAGACCTGCCTGGCAAGGCTGCAGTTGGTCCAGAATGCTGCAGCTCATCTTCTGACACGTACTAAAAGATGTGAACACATTTCCCTGGTACTTGCCTCCCTTCATTGGCTCCCTGCCCGCTTCAGAATTAATTTTAAAATTTTATTGTTGACTTACAAAGCCCTGAATGGACAGGCTCCCGGGTATTTGTCTGACCTCTTGCAGACTTATACCCCCCTTAGATCTCTTAGATCAAGTGATCTTTTGCTTTTAGCTGTACCGAGGTCGAGGCTGGTTCATAGAGGTGATCGAGCATTTGCAGTCATAGCGCTTAAGCTGTGGAATAATTTACCCCTATACATCAGACAGGCTCATACTGTCAATCTTTTTAAATCTTATCTTAAAACGCATTTTTATTTACTGGCTTTTAATACAGCATGAGAGTTGTTTGTTAATTCATATTTGTTGTTTGCTTTTAATACTCTAAGTTGTTTTATTATGCATGTTGTATTCTTGTACAGCACTTTGGTCAACGCTCCTGTTGTAATTAAATGTGCTATATAAATAATTAAACTATTAACTATTAAGGTGCATTAAACTCTGTCGGAAACTGAAAACTCATTCACAACCTGTATGCTTTAAATAAACAGTGACAAACACTTCCATTTCTCTGGACACGCATACAGAGAATCAACCAATTACAAACAGACTAAAGTAAAAGAATTTAAATGGTATATATATATATAATCAAAATAGAAATTACAGCAAACAAGAAATGGTTATTGTTGATCGATTATATCTAATACAGATGTAATGTAATGGTTAAAAGCTGTGCATCCTTTGTAGATTTTGATTAAAGTTTCTGTGGGTGTCCTGATTAAGGCAATTTTCTATCCCATCTCAGAATAACTAAGGCAAAGGCTGATGCTAATGGGAATCCTGAACAACAACAACAAAGTGAATGATTGCTGACCTTTGGGCGGCTGCAGCAGCCGGGATTTCCTGAACAGATGTCTTTTCTGAACGGGGAAGATCATTTTCTCCTTTAGCTCGTTGATCACCTCCTCCAGACCTGCGATATCCCTCCATGTGATCTGCACACAGGAAGAAATCTGGATGGATATTGGCTGCAAGTGCTGATGCACGAAGATTAACCCCACACTTCCTGTTTCTGTCAGTACTGTGTGCTGTCAGCTCTTTGTGGTTTATATTTACAGCTTCAGTTTAAACAACATGTAAAGTGGCATTACCTGCATGGTCCGCGGGTCAACCTGGTGAGTGACAATGCGCTGTTCATACACAGAGAGTTTAACATTTTTAGATTTATTTTGACCTGTCCTCGTTGTCTGAAAAACACAAAAGCAGAAACAAATCAAAGGCTCAGCCTGTGCTCTATGTCAGGATCATACTGTCCTCATCAGCAGGAGACAATTTTCTCAAATAAAACATTCAGGATGAAAGATGTATGCCTAGGTTCTCTGTCATCTGGGTCATGGCAATCTAAGAAGCTTGGAAAGAAAAGTAACTGGAAGAGCAGTTGTGCCATAGTCTATAGGATGATAGTTAAAATGTGACCATAAAGAAAAGACAGAATTATAGTCGAGAATAAGCAATAAGCTTCTCCCGGATGGCCGAACTCCTCACCCCATCTCTAATGGAGAGGCCAGCCAGCCTTCGGAGAAAGCTCATTGTTGCTGCTTTTATCTGCAATTTCGTTCTTTTGGTCACTATCCAAAGCTCGTCACCATAGGTGAAGGTAGGGACGTAGATCGGCCAGTAAACTGAAAATTCTGCTTTTACGCTCAGCTCTCTTTTCACCATACAGACCAGTACAGTGTCCATATCACTACAGTCATAGCATCAATCCAACAGACTCTCAGTGCAGGACTCACTGCCTACGTCCTCACAAATTCTCCTACCCTCTTCCTTTACATCTGATGCGTTCATGGAGGTGAAAGAAAAAAGGTTAAGAAAAGGAGATGAAACAGATTTTGGGAACCTACAGATTTTTGGTTACATCCTGTTAGAAATGTTCATCCAACTGTAAAACCTGCCTAGCAGATCTGATTATGAGCAGCTTCAATCCATTCAGTTTGGGTATTTGTGCTCAGACTGATTTTTATGTGCATCTGCTGACTGTGGAAAATTATATCATTAATCTCTTGTCTTCTTTCTTGTTTGCACAAAAGCTTGTTCTGTATAGTTATTAATCAAAATGTTTTTAAAGTATAATTCTGAAAATGTCATTATCTTTACAAATGAAAAGAAAGGCAAAATTAATATATTCTCTGAAATTATCAGGTAATATCTGCACATCAGCAAATCTGAGATTAAACATGAGAAAGAATCAGAATTAATCCACATTAAGGTGAGACAAAAAAAACAAACATCTGAAGACAAAACCTGTTGCAATAAATCTTGATTCCCCTCCCACCTGCCTGTGAGGCTTCTCCTGCTGATTCCTTACCTGGTATAACTGGTATATGATGCCTAGGCTTAGGCCTAGGCCTACGCCTAGACCCTGGCCTAGACCTTGGCCTAGGCCGAGAAAAAGAGCGATGCCTCCAGCTCGCACAAAGCTCAGTCCCATTGTCACGTCACAGATTCTGAGACACAAACAGGTTTACACAGGGATTAATGTATAAAATGCTATCAAGGAGATGAATACAAACAGCAGGAGCATAACAACTCACCACCTCGCAACACTCTCTCACTCACTGCTTGTTATTACTGTGCGGAATACAAATGTTTTATGAAGGACAGAAGTCTAAAAAATGCCCAATCATCTAGTTTTAGAAAGTTCAGGAAGAAACTGAGACAATGCAAAAAGTCAAAAATATCTAAAGCTCGCTCAGAATTGGGGATGGGATGCTTGATACTGACATTTTGACACTGTGTTTAGCTGACAAAGTGCAAATTTTTCAAAACACTGGCTGCGTTCCAAACCTCCCTCTTGTCTCCTCTTCCTAACCTCTTTTCCTTGATCTTGATGGAAATGTCATTGAGGTCATGTAAAGGCTGATGGGAAGATTGATACTAAGAAAAGAGAAGAGCAATGCTCTGAAATTTGGAACATCACTAACAATGTGATGCTGAATGTTGGCTATGTTGAACTTACAATATGCAAAACATGGACTACAAAATCCATATCTTTACTCCAGTGACTTCTAAAATGAGAATATCCTATGAAAAATATATTTTATTAGAAAGGTTTGAATTTTAAAGTAATGTTTAGGTCCAGATTTAAATTATTTTGATATTAAAAAGCTTTTAGATTTACTAAAGAGACACAGTGCCAGTTTTGTGACAGCAAGTTATGAACAGGAGAATTTTTGAGGCTGGTCTTATTGCATATCATTTTGTAGGAGTTTCCCTTTCAGGAGGAGAATATTTAAATGAGTAGCACAAATGTGAAAGTCTATGGCACACAATTTACTGGAAATGTCATTAATTGAAAAATCATATCTTGTGCTTGTTGTGGTTGTGATAGATGCTACAAGGAGTTTTAATTTTTAGGAGGAGAGATGCAATCAGAAGAAGTGTGTAATCGATAGTTTACGCGGATGGCTCAAAACTGTGGGGACATTACCAAAAACTCTTCTCTCCTCATACTGAGTGTTTAGAAGTGAGCCCCACCAATCGTTCCTCAAAAATAATGAGAATTTACTCAAATGGATCTCATATTAACTGAATATTAACTTAAGTTAATTCTCTAATTAACATATTAACTCCTTGGAGGGCATTTCTATTCGATTCAATTATTAAAGAGAGACAATCTCCTGATTTCCCTCTGAAAAATTTGAACACGACAATAGCGCCAAGTCACAGTTGCCTAAAGTCGCCTGCTATTTTTGTGCAAAGCTAACTGAACAGTCTGACTTTTGGTTCTAATCATGAGCTTGAATCCGTTAAGTTGAAGATGAGCAGACGATAATAAAAATGAAATATCTCTTCTTCCTCCTACATTCGAAAGAAAGTGAAACATAATTAACCAGGATGACAACTGAGATCAAAATTGGGTTAAGAGATGAAAATCATCCCAGAAGTCCTTGTAAATTCTACTTAAATACAGTAACTAAGTACTTAAACCTCTGGCATTACAGAATGCTAACATCTGAGTAGCTCATGGTTGCGAGTAATTTTAACAATTACCGTAATAGTCTTTGTCACTTTGTTGCTGCTATTTTTCCTTTGGCATCGTTTGAAGAAAAAAAAACCACAACAGCCCTTCGATATCGTACTATGTGAATGGACAACAAAGATTGAAGAAACACTTCATTTATAGCTGGAAAAATGCAACATTTGGACAGACTTATGGGAAAATCTTCATGAGATTCAGTCCTTACGATCCTCACATAATTAACGATTATTTTCAAACAACAAATTCACAAAGTATTGGCATTTTTATAACATTTCATCCCCTGTTAGAGACAGATTGCTATTCTGAAAGTGAAACTTTTACAAATACATACTCCATAAAGCTAAGACCTAGTTCAAACTAACTGTCAGTCACAAAACTGACACTGAATCTCTTCACTATAGCTAAACCAAGACAACAAGCTGTGGCGAAGTAACAGTGTAGTCAAACTTTAAGGTCGTTCTCAGGTGCTCCTCTTTTCCTAAGTCCATATCTATCCTCATCCACAAACAAAGTGAGTAGGAATATGAGACAGCAGGGACTTTGAAAAAAAAAATCCTGGAGCTGGAGTCAAACGCACAAAAACTTTAAATCAGCCAACGTGACATGTGTGTTTTGAATCACACCTCGGAGTACCTGCGCTTCATAAACCCGCCACACAAGCATCCATTATCCACATACTCATACATACTGAATCAATATAAAAAAATATAATGTATAGGCTACCACTTCTTCAAACAAAATTTAAATATATATTCTGTTTTATAAAAAAATAAAATAAATCTCACCTACAGAAGGACAACACGAAGACGGCAACAAACAAGTCAGGTAGAGTAAAGCAGCAGATATCGTTTTAGGAGAAATCACGTGGTGACACAGCTGAGTTGCGGTGGTGCCAAACTGCATGGGAAGAGCCAACTTTCGTCTTATTTGCTGTTCGTGGTGAGAGGAGGAGACTAAATACAAAGCACAACAGACAACCAACATAAAACAGGGAAACAAAACGCAAGAACACTTTTCAAAGTGACACGAACTCAACAACAACATAACACACGGGAGGAATAAAGCGAATCAAGGAATATAAACCAAGTATAACAATAGACAGAAACTAGATAGTAAAACTAAGTAAGTAAAAAAACTAAGAAAGCACATGAATATAAACATAAACCAACCACAAAATATCTGCTGAAGGAAAAGAACCTAAAACTGAAAAAAAAAACAAAAAAGAAAAACCAACCAAATCACGAGTCCGTGAAAGCTATATAATGGTTAAAAAAAACCTCAAGCAAACAAACAAAAAAAAAAATTAATGTCCAAATTTATTCTTCCTCTATAATAACTTGTTTGCGCTGATTTTCAGTTCAGATTTCAGTCCATCATGACTCAGCTCTTTCTCCCTCGGTAATAATCAATAATCATATGACCCAAAACACCATGAACATATTGCAATGCAATATAATGTGTGTGATAGAAATGAAAACTATTAAATGAATTTATTATTTTGCGCCCTTTTTAATTTTAGACAAAAAGTGCAGTTTTTCTGACAAAAATGCCCCATTTTTAGATATGGAAAAGGTTATTCTTAAAAACAGCTGCTTCTTAACAACAGAGAGCAGGATGGGGGAGATGGAGGCTGCACGCCCCGTTAAGCATTATTTCGTTTTATTTGCTTTTGCTTAATCCGAAACAAGGAACATAGGAAGCACAGGTACACGCCACACCTCTGCATGAGTCGGTCGCACAGGAGCAAGAGTCCACGCGATGGTGTGTTTCGTCTCGCACATCAGCCAGTGTGGGTACAATGACAATCTCTCGAACTCCTCCCAGACCCGTCAATAAAATCATTAAGATATTTTTTGATAAACTGCCAAAGAGCCATTTTTACCCCCCAGTTCAGACGCCTCTGCATTAGGATCTGATCCAGCAAACCCGAGGAGAGCAGCGGACATGAACCACTGTTGAACCATGTGTGAAATAAAATTAAATGAAAAAATGATTGTGAAGAAGTGACGGACATTTGATGGCAGGTCTTAGATAATCGTGAGTTATTGTGTCTGATTGCAAAATTGTAAAAAAACACAAAACTCTGGAAGAGGCGTACACGCACTTTGGAAAAGTAAAGGCGTGTTGCATTCTCTAAAACTGTTTTGTGAACAGTTGTCCAAGTATATATTCCTTTTAAAATGTGACACATGTAATATGATCATCAAAGAACGTGATTTTTATAAAACATGTATTCTTCTGTTTTGAAAGTGTCAGATTTTCATAAAACATTTATTAGTGTAGCGGCAATCTTCGGTCCTTCGTCGCTTCTGCTGGACGTAAAGTTTCTGACTCGTGCTTGGCTGTAGGCCTTTCGGTAGCAAAAACGAGGTGAATGTAAAAAAGAAAAAAAAAGGAAAACGTTTATTTACTCCACACAAACCGAAAACTCCAAAACAAATGCCTCCAGTGGAGCTCCGTTTACATCTATTTTATGTCATAAACGATAAACAACTGTTGCTCCACCACATTGCGGCCTAACACACCCGCTTTGTCAGTGAGAACGTGTTGATGACACCTACCACCACTTTACAACAACCCAATAGATTAAGAAAGCAGGACAAATTTAGAGCATATGGACCATAGTATATTGTATTACAACATAAAATAATCAAGATTGTAACTAGAAACTCAGATTACAGATCATAACAAAATACTCAAATACGTTCCGATGTATTTGAGTAAAATATTGGCCTGGACTGTCTAAGCTCCAATAATTAGTATGTTGTAATTTGTTTAGACTGTGTGTAATTTTTATAGAAACCTTGTCCATTGTATGTGTAATCATGAAAACATGTAAAACTCCACAGCAGTGATACTTGTTCTTACATAGGTGCATTTATTCTTTGTTGTGGTACTTTACTGTTCAAATGAAACACGATCTGATTTCTTTTTTTTTTTCTTTTTTGGTAAAGTAAAGTCACTCTCACAGCACTGATTTTAGAGGAATGTTCAACAATTGTTCTAGACTGCCTTTTCTCCAGTGAGGGTTACGGTGAATTTTAGGTTGTTATTTTCTGTGATTGCACACTGCCCATGAGAGGACCTCTCAGTAAGCTGTACACCAGACGTTTTAATTCAGTTTTATCTATATATCACCAAATTACAACAACAGTCACCTGGACGTGAAACTGTTAGTCACACAAATGGTGAACAGAAAGTAATTTTCCAATTGTGAAATCCACATTTTTCCAAACAGTTAACACAAAGGCCTAAACAGAGGCACTCATGCTCAAAGTGACACATTTTCTTTGCAAAAGGCTCCAATAATGCCAAAACATTTAAAATATGAAACAGAAGCAAATTTTGTTTTCAAACATCAGAACTTGTAAACAAGTGTATGAGCTTGTCCGATCAATCATTACACAAAACACAGTACTGAATCCGTGCACCACTGCTCATCATTGTAGCCCATTACACAGCCTTTGTCATTTGTTGTCTTTCTACATAGGCTGTGTCAAATTTGCTTTCTTGCAATGATTTAGATGCAGAATCAGAAATAGTTTGATGCTAATTTTATTGAGTCAATGACTTTTTTTCAAACTGTGACTGAATATTGAAACACTGGAAATATTACAAAAAAATACATATAAACCAAAATAAAATCTATTACAGTATAAGAAATTGCCACTTTTGATACTCAATCGCTCACCTTAGACCTCCTCAACTGATGCTGGTAAAGAACTACACAGATGTGGCATCTTTGAAGGCCTGCAGACTGATTGCGAAATGAAAGTTTGTGGTAAGGACTTCAAAAGCAGGTGATTTATTGATTTCATACTGATCTTGGTAGTTTCTAATAGTTAGAAATAGGTGATTTCTGTTTGGTTACCACAGCTTAAACAATGGGGTTTGGACTGCTTGAATGAGATTAATTGTTTTGCAAAAAGGTGGGGAAAAGTTGTCAAGCCAATGAGAAAGGGTTAACACATTTCCAAGAAGTGTCTCCTGCTCTGCTCAGATAGTGATGATGAAAACTGAGGGGATCCAGTCTCTGTAGGCCGGTCAAAGCAATTAAGAAAAACTGTAACGTCTTGATGCATGCTCAGTCATCCAGGTAAGGAAATCCCTAAAAATTATTCTGTTCATCTGGACGTGGCGTTTTCAGTGGGAGAAACATTTCGTCGCTCATCCAATTAACTTCTTCAGTCTCAGCTGACTGCAGGTTTCCTCAATCTTATAAACAGTACATTTGCATAATGACTGAAACCAGCCCACTGAAGGAACATGAGCTGGGAGGTCAGACTGAAGAAGTCACTTGGATGAGTGACGAAACGTTTTTCTCACAGAAAACGTTACGTCCAGATGAACAGAATCAACTTATGTGCCACTGACATGAGTGTCATGTTACTCCATACAGAACCCCATTAAAACAAAATAATAGAAAAATAAATAACAAAATTATCTTTAAATGTCTGACTTGTGCCATTGAAACCTTTGTTTAGTTAGTTAACCAGTTTCAGTTTCTAAAAATATCATTTGTGCAGGAATAGAAAGGTGAACCATGAGTCCTGCTTTCTTATCTAAAAATGTCCTGAAATAACATGTTGACCTTTTTTTTACTGTCTTAAAAAGAAGGTGAACATGATGAATGTAACATGATTTGGCTTCCATGCTAAAGACTGAAGTTACTGGAGAAAAGACTGTTTTTATGCTGACCCTATGCTCGATTAGGGCTGTCACAATGGCAGGTTTTCATGACATTACTGTAACCAAATGAGATCACTTTAAGCATATTAGCCCCACATGTTACAAGTAATGGATCACTATGGATTATTGTAAGGTCCACCTTACAATATAAAATGCCTTGAGGCAACTGTTTATTGTGATTTGGTGCTGTATAAATAAAATTATATTGACTACATTGAATTGAACATTTTACAAAAAAAGAAGAAAAAGAAAACAAACAAAAACAAAAAACAAACAAACAGCAGTTTCACATTTAGGTGCTGATCCCATGATTTCAGCATGGCTCTATTGTCTTTGTGGCTGTGGATCATGTGACACTGACTCACATGGAAAGTGCAGTGTGCCGTGTAACCCAATGAAAGTAAAATGGAAAAATAAAGAAATGGATCTTTGATAATAGTTATGATTTAAGGAGCAAAAGTGAGGAAGCTCAACTGCTAGACTGTTCGGATCCCGGGCTTCGTTCCCAGTGTTTTGTGTTTTTTGGACTTCTGAATCTATTGTGTTTTGAAAAGTGGCGTATGTTTCTAATTTTTAGTGTTTTGTTAATTTATTAAGTTCTTTTTGTGTTCAGGCTGTCCTGAAAGTGAAGTTGAGCATTGCTCATATACATATATCCTTCATGTAAGTAGGCGACATGCTCTACAGTAACCCCAAGCTTACAGCACCTGGTATTCCCAGGCAAATTCCCATCCAAGTGCTAACCAGGCTCAACCCTGCTTAGCTTTTAGGATCACACAAGTTTAGGTGTGCTCAGGGTGGTAAAGCTGTAAGTTATGTCCTGTGGGGGTCTGGGGTCATGATAATAAACTGTAGAGGCAAGTGAATGCAAAAAGCATTATATTCCTGATCTGTGGTCCAAATCACTGAAGTATAAAATACTTAATTTGTCACACTGAAAGCAAAAAGCAAAAAAATCCTATGCAGAAATGCCAGCTGAGTCTGGCGGTGTGTACTGTTAAGTCAAATCCGATTGGTGATTGGAGTTCAGTTCTAAAACTGAGTGTTGTGAAGGAAAGCTGTCCTATCCCAGCACCGGCTTCTCATTCTTGGAGCCGGATGATGTCAACGTTGTTGTGGACACTTTGCAGAACCAGCTCTCCCTGGAAGGCAATCACCTTCTTCCTAGTGGCCGTCAGAGTGGCCACCAGCGCTTCATAAGATGTTGGCACAGCGCTCGTGATTAAACAAGACACAGAACTTTGTGATAAATTTACCTTTAGCATTTTCACTGCCCAGTTGCTGGATCCCCTGAACCAGCAAATCAAGAGACATTTAATTTTATATTTTAATCATATATTTTTTATATTTTAATTGTTGCTGATTACTTTGACTTGTTTTTGCTTGTAATGACGTGAAGGACGACTTTCTGATGAATCGTCACCGGTGGAAAATGATGCTGCGCTCAGAGAACTCCCTTTAGAAATGCAGACACCTGCACTGTGTTACCTCTGAAAACAAAAATGCAAATAACAACAAACTATCCAAGAAAATCTTTCTGATGCATAAGGAACAAACTGTTTGAGATTATCACATTTTTTCTTCTTATTTCTTCTTAGATTCCAAATTTCTTAACATGAATCACAATTTATAACTACAGATATGCAAGGTTAGAAATTCAAAACTATTTCACAGCACACTTTTATTTTCAGAACAACTCACATGTACTTTACACACAAACTAAAATGTCATTTGCTTGAAATATAAGAAGCTTTTACTATTCATTTTTGTGCATGTAATATTCATAACTTATGGTTAGACGTCCAGTAGTAGAAGTACCTGTGCTGTGATGTTTAAATTAGATTAAAGCATTTAACTATGGTGGCCCTGAGAGGCCAAATCCACTGCAAGCTGAGAAAAGCAAAAGGTCAACAAACATATGAATCTCAGATTTAGAAAACACATTATCTGCATCTTTTTCTCCCTCGCAACACAAACAAATCGCCGGCTTCTTTTCAGTGAGCCTCTCTGCTCCTTCACATGTTCCAGTTTTTTGTCACTTGCACAGCTGTTCCACTACGTTATTGTCTCCCCTAAATCACTTCACTTGTGTCTTTATGCAGCATTTTTTGTTTTTCTATTTGCTTATGTTTTCTTGCATTGCAGTGCATTTCATCTCTCAGGGCCACCGTGTCAAACAGGTGTAGGTCCCAAACAGATGCTGCAGAAATGAGGGAACTAAAAGCAGCTACAACAACAATTAAGATGAGGTTTGCATTCATAAAATTGTTTAAAAAAGAAAAAAAAAAAGGAGCTTTTGAAGAAGTTGTGGTTTCTTATTAAAATAATAATAAACACAAAAATCGAGATTGAGCTTCTGTTTCTCTTTTTCCTTAACTAGCCTACATTTCATATAAAACCTAATCTCAGCTTTAACAAACTGGGCTTTCGGTTTTCACAGGCACTCTGGATAAATAATATGACTGGTTCAGTAACATCATCGTTACAGTGCACGGGATTGGTCTGTTTCCTTTGGGCTTTTGTGTCATGAGTCGTAAAACCAAAGAAAAAATTCTGCGCAGATTAGAATCACTCTACCGTAAATACAAGAAAAGCTGCGCCGAGTGAAAAAGAAACGATCTGCATCCGCATCCAGATCTCGGTTCGGCTGTTCATGACCTGGGTTGTGGAAGGAAGGAAGTGGAAGATGCACTTTTCCCACATGAGTAGAACAAATTGGGTTCCCAGTACACACTGAGCCAATACCAATAATAACTGCCAGATGGGTCAGACGTGCACATACTCACAAGGGTCAGAAATGCAACATGACACCCACTGGAGGCTTCACCAGTAAGACCTACAGCAGATCAGCAGATGACTGAAAAGAAGAAACTCTTCAAAGCTCTGATGAAACTCTTAAAAAATATAAAATTACACATTTCTGGAGTCGTACGGTCAACAAAACGCACCACTGACGCCGGCTGCTCTGGGCGTTAGCACCACTGGAGTCCAATACGACATCATCATGGACTACAAAAGACATTTCATATGATAAAGAGGATTTTATTTCATCCGCACAATGAATCATAAATCAATTTTAATGTGGATTTTCCTGACGTGTGCTTATCCACTCTTCTCATCTGCAGCAGGGGAAAAAGCTCTTAAAGGTACAACGGAATAAGGAAGACGAGACTACAGAACAAAGCACAGCCCAAAAATGAAAATGGAGACATCCAGTACCCAGAGGTCGCCACTCCTTCCCTCTAAACTATGGACCAAGTGTCCAAACACTGCAGTGAGGTACACAATTCACATAAGAAAGTTCAAAATTGGAAAAAATTAGACAGGATAAACCTTTAATTCAAATACATGAGAATCAAATGTTTTTGGATTAAAATGCAAAGACACGTGCATGAATTATTTTGTAGTCAAAGAGGCTGTCCACTTACAAAGTAGTTAATCAGTAAAACCAGGAATTAAAAACTTTTGAAGTCTAAAACCTGAGTGCACACGTAAAGTATCAGCCACTCTGTCTATCACTTTAAAGACTTTACATTATTTTAATGCAGATTAACCTCTAATAATAATAGCAGCTCTCTTCTGTCCTGAATCAGGCCTTCTAGCACTGAGAAGGATTTAAGAAGTGTACTACAACATAGGTGTACTATGTCGTCATTGACAGAGATGTAACCTCTGCAGGGTTGTGAGATGGAGGGAGGAGGACAATTAATGAATCAGGAAGTGCAGAGGATTAGTCAGGAGGAAATAAGGGTAGCAATGAAGTGGATGAGGACTGGAAAGGTTCTGATGACATAAGTGTGGAGGTTTGAACATGTCTGGGAGAGAGGGCAGTGGACCTTTAGCAGATTATTTAAACATGATCCTGCAGAGTGAGTGAAGGCCTGAGAAATGGAGAATAGGTCTGAAGGGCAGACAGATGAAGGATGGAGACGTGTCTTTGATTCTGAAGGATTTGACGATTAAGGAAACTATATAAAAATATACGAGTGCCGTGTTGTCCAGGGAGTGGAAGGACCTATGATTCTAATCAGCATCATCACCGTGAGTTGTTTAGTACTTTTCTGTTTAATAATTTCTTATATTTTCAGACTATCTTTCTACTATATTTCGAAGTTGGATTGATCATTGGTCGGCAGTTCTGAAGGCAAAAGGGAGTGCAACTCAGTACTAGCAAAGTGTACCCAATAAAGTGGCCAATAATGTATATTACTATGGATAGATCAAAAAAATTGAACCTATATTTGTGCTTTTATTTGTTGTTGCATTCAGTGTCTATAAAATTCATGTGTAGCAGGCTTTTATTTTAAAGAGCTGAGCACTCCTGATCCCGTGTGATGTCACTGAGCAGGTTGGACTTTATGTGAAACCAGCTGTGAACAGCAGGTGTGAACAAACCTATAAAAAGTATTTACAGAAGACATTTTATAAAACTTGTATTAGTATGAAGTTTCCTCCATATCAGATGCAAAATAGCTGATGCACATTCATAAAGTGGAGTTTTTACATTTTCAGTGGTGAAGACTCAGAGTTGAAGAGTGTTGTAGCACTCCAGTGCCAGTAGAGGGCAGCAACCGAACAGTTTATTCTATTAATAATTGGTCAGAAGGTTAAGAGGGGGTCAGCTTCAGTGCACTAATTTGAAACTAACTTTTTAGCTAAATCAGCTTCTGATTGAAGAACAGGCTTTAAAAAAAAAGAAGAAAAGACTATTTGAACTATCAGCTGCTGTCAGGTGCCTTCACACCTGTTACCACATCTTCTAATGTAAACACACCAAATCAATAGACTTATTACAGTGTTATGAATTTAAATCCATGGAGGTTTGTGAAAGTGTGATGTGTTTTTATGTGACATCGTGATTTAAAGTTCAGTGAAGACAAACACTAATGAGCATGTGGAGTGGGCTACATACTGCAGAAACAGTTCTGGTTTAGTCTATTGTTCATGTGTCACAATACAGTATAGTTCAAGGCCAGTGTCATAGTAATGAATGTTAAAACAGAAGTGTTTTTGAGGTGTTTAATGTCAGCTTAATGTCAGGAAAATGCATCACCAGAGTTCATGTGAGAAAACCAAACACATTGTACATAAAGGAAGTTTATTAGTGCTGCAAATAATTTTGTTTACATAAACAATGATTTGCATTTATTAAAATAAGTTTGACCTTGAAATGTGAATTTGTATGATACTAAGCTGTGTAACAAATCCACACGACCACATGATTACAAATGACCTGTACTGCTGCTTCACATGAAAAAAAGCATGTTAATTTCTTTGTGTATTACATTGCACAGTGAAACAGACAGTGTTAAGAGCGTACAGGCAAACATCACATTCATTAAAAGTACTAATTCGTTTCTAAACTTTAAATGAGCACATTAAAGATTTTCTTAAACATGGTGTCTGTTCTGACTCGCTTTACGAATTAGAGTCACTTTTTACTTTATTCTTTATGGAAACTTGCTGCTGAACACTTTAGTAATGAAGCAGATGTTTTAAATAATATTTTACTGTAATTTGTGATCCATCCTGTAGATGCAGGAAAATCTGTTCCTGAACTTCAGATTTACAGGTTTTAGATTTCTGTCCATAAAACCTGTTCCTATAAAATGTGTAGCTGTTTGATAAGCAGACGACTCTCAGCTCTGCTTGTACTTAACTTCACGAGGAGAACAAACAGAATATAAACCAGTGTGTTTACAGTGAATGTGTCAGGTCTGAGCTGCTGTGTGGACCAGTTAGAGAGCAGCAGCTGGATCCCAGTGGTTGGACTGGTGGACGACTTCAGTGAGGAGTCGATGACACTTGGCTCTGGTAGAAACTCTGCACACAAACACACAGGAGGAGAATAGAAGCACAAAGCAGAGCCTCTCTGTTCTCTTTATATACAGCAAAGTGAAAGAAGGAGAACATGTCAGTGAACGCGTCACAGTGTTTTTTTTACACCAGTCTTATAACAAAGTAAAAATCTCTAAAATCTGTTTGTGAGACACAAACTCAGCCCATTCTCACTCCGGAAGCGTAACATGCTGGCGTTGCCATAGTTTTGTCACGTCCCGCGGCAAAGGAGACCATCGGCGTTTTTATGGTACGCGGCGGGTTATGGCTGAAATGCAGTGCAATGACGCCCCCGCGGTAATAAACGTTCCAGCCCTGCTGACTAAAATCGCCCCTGGTTTTAGATGAGATGTTAATTTTAATTAATACCAACATTTTGCTGCATTTTTGTTATAAGAATATGAACATTCAGTGCATATTTGCACTGCGCATTGTTCTCCTGGCACGCCAGAGTGTCACGTATTTTAAAACGTTGTCAAATCTACTTAAACTGTGTCTGGTCCAGTGCTGGCCCTTCACTGTCACTGATGACACCTGGTCTAAGTCATGCTTAGAAGCTGATTGTTTATGACAGCTGATACAACGACTCAGAGATAGCATTAGCAACGGGTGGTATTGACCATACTACTACCAGAGCCTTGGGATCCATGTTTGGCTACGATCCCGCGGCTGTTACACTCCTCGCTGTGTCGAGGGTAGACAGTAGCATAACCAACTCCTCTAAAATACTGTCCTGTCGGTAGCTAGCTCTGTCTGTTAGCTCTGGTGTCTGGGATTAGCAGGTTTCTACTAAACCACTGCAGCTGAGGATAAAGTTGTTCGATCAGCAGCTCCAGTCCTTCGAGTTTACGTTTTGTGTGCGTGTGTCTTTTCTACAGTCATTGGTGTGGAGTGGTTGTACTCTTTAGCCTAGCCTCACTCTTCATCAGTTTCCCACTTCCGCTATTTCCGCGCGTGCACCGCCGGTGTTTACTCGACGTCCAGACAAGCGATAAAACGTGAACTGTGTGTGACGTAATCCAGGACCCAGAGTGCATCACACACAAACACATCACACGTACGAAAAATGAAAGCCACGCCCACTAACATCAGCAGCTTCAGGCAAACGGGGCTTGACCAATCAGCACCTCATCTGATGATCAGCAGGTGTGAACTTTATTAACGCTACAGTACCAAAGAGTCACACTCTGACTTCTACATCTTTGCCTCAGCATTACAAAGACTCCTCAAGAGGCTTTTAATCCATTCACACAATGACTCGAAGATCATTTCAAGTGTGGATTTTCCTGCTGTGTGCTTATCAACTCTTTTCACACGCAACTGCTGAAAACAAAGGTAATATCTTTAAAAAAAATTATATATATATATAAGACACTTTCACAAAGGCGTTTAAAGACAGGAAACTTCGTAACACTTTCCTGTCTGTATTGTTTTTACACATTCTTATATCTAGAGTGCATGCTAAAAAAACAAGTCCTCATTAAGGTTCATGAAGCTACTTCGTTTGGCCTGAAATATGTATTTTTTACATTAGTTTTACTGCAGACTTCAGGAGCTATTTTGGAGCTCAATGTCATTCATCTGTGTTCTGTACTTAGTGTACAAGATTGTGGTCAGCATCAGGTCTGATGGTCAGGTTTAAAGGATTCAACCACTATAAACCAGAGACTCTTGCTCTCTTTCTCTGTGATCCTCACTGTGACTTTCTGCTGTAGAAGTGAACACTTGATCCCTTTAACTTCTCTGCTTGTATGGTGTTCCCGCTTTCAGACCAGAAAGTCATCCCAGCTGAGTCTGGAGGGAATGTCACTCTGCCATGTCAAGCTCCAGACAAGGGCATCTCCGTTATAGTTGTAGAGTGGAGCAGAGCTGATATAGAAGATGAATATGTCCTTTCCTACCGGGATGGGCAGTTTGATCCTGAGGACCAGCATCCATCTTTTAAGAACCGGGTGGATCTGCAGAACAGACAGATGAAGGATAGAGACGTGTCTTTGATTCTGAACAATGTGACGATTAATGACACTGGAACATACGAGTGTCGTGTTGTCCAGAGAAGAACAAGCCGCAGGAAGAGAGCTCATCTGAAGACTGACCCCATCAGCGTCATCTACCTGAGAGCTGTTGATCCTCCAGGTGAGTGAGTAGAGTTGAGTGTGTGTGTGATCAGAGGTGAAGCTGCTTCCTGGTTGTTGATGTTTGTTCCTAAAGATGTTGTTGATGAGACTTTGTAGAAAGCAGCTGGTCTGAGTGATGTGATCAGAGTGCAGTAGATAATGTCTGACAGCAGTTTGAAGAGGAAATGGATTCTGTTCTGTTCTTCACTCATCACCTACCTGACACCTCACACCTGTTTCTCACCTGCAGGTCAGACAGGAGGACTCACAGAGGATGGAGGGAAGGAGGCTGGAGGGAAGGAGGCTGGAGGGAAGGAGGATGAATTTGTTGGACTGAAAGTTGGTCTGTCAGTTTCTGCTTTGCTTCTTGTTACTGCTCTTGTTGGTTTTTTGGTGTACAGAAAACGGCAACAGAGAAATTATCCTAATGAATTGTAGCATGTTTGAAATGCCCCAGAGGTTTTTACACCTTAATGGCGGTTCAACCTCTCAGTGTTGACTGAAATTATCCATCACATTGTGTATTTGGTGTTCAGCATCTTTGGGAAAGACTTCAACCTGTTCTTTAAGGCACGCTAAAGAACTTAAACTAAGGATTTATTCATCCGAAAAGAACATTTAAATAATTGCTTAACTTTTCTTTTTTTCTTTGGTGCAAAACATCAACGATCTGTCCAGCAAACATTTTCAGATTCAAAGTTTGAACATTCAATAACAGCATTATTTGTAAAATATCTGAAAAACAGTCCAAAAAAACTGTCTGCTCGACGAGCTTCATGAACACCAGCTGGAAATCCTCATATTTGAAAAAGAATGCTGTGAGGTGGAGCTGTACTTACAGTTTAAATAGTTTCAATTCAGAGTATTGAAAGTTTATTGTATGTAGCTATTATTTATAGATGTTTTCTAAGCACTACTTGTACTGTTAAAGAGCACATCAGCATCTCCTTCTTTAAGCTGCTCCTGTTCACCACAGCGGATCATCTACCTCCATCTCCTGCTGCATGCCCCCCTAAACTATATCCATGAATCTCTCTGAGGTCTTTTCCTCCTCTCTGACAGCTCCATATTCAACATCTTTGGCCCAGTATATTCCCATTCCCTCCTCTGCACATGTCCACTTTGAATGTAATGTTAGCAATGATGAAGATGACTCAGAATTTTGTCTGTACTCATGAGCCTTCTTTTATCAGAATCTTTCTGATCTGTTGATGCTGTTTCTACTGGAGCTCTCCCCCTTCATATCCCTGTTTTTATTCCACAAGTGTTTTTATACCACAAAAATCACATGCCTTGATATGACTGTTATTGTTGTTATATAAACCCTATATAATGAAACCTATAAATTAAAGAAAATCAGTCTCGAACTTTTCTTTTCTGTTTTTGTGCTCATAAAGTGTTTACATTTAATTTGATTTATTATCTGTGTGCATAAAACACTGAATGAAAAATGAGCCAGAGAACCTGATTGAGGAAGTGGATGCTGGGTTTCCGATTCACACTCTGATTGGCTGAGAGGTATAGCCTCACCTCAAAAGAGGGTTACTCCAAGTCATTGACACTGAGATTTGAATGATGGCATCAATGAGAACCTACAAAGACATGCCATTCTCATAAGCAACAGTCCTTCTGTGCAAATGTTTACTCAGTATAACTGTCTTGCCTTTTCATCGTGAATCATCAAAAAGTGGATCATGAAGTGGAAACGGTGACTTATTTCCATCAAAACACATTAAGGATTAAAAAATAAAAAAAAGATACTGTAACATTTTTATATATTTCAAAAGAATGATTGAAGAAAGTGTGATGTACCATGCTCTTATGTTTTACAGATAACTTCCCTCTCAGTTCCTATTCAGGCGCTCAAAGGAAAGTAATCACTTGGAAAACCTCACTAAGGGACATTAACATCAGCGTTTAAGCTGAATTCATTTGCAGGTTTATACATGTCCCTTCTCTGTCTAGCTGAAGTAGTTTCCATGGCACTTTTAAACTTATTTCTCCATCAAAATAATTTTAAATCTCAAATATACAGAAAGAAATGGAGCCTGACTTTAGTGTTTGAGAAAGAAGTTCAACAATGACTCACTGATGGCTGAGCTTCAGACTAAATCTGTTGTCCTCTCTGATCTTTACGGGGTTTTTTAGCTGTCATTGTGCACAGAGTATAAAATAACAGTTGGTTTCAAAAATTAAAAACACTCAGCTGCTTTTGAACCACTCACTGATGCTACTTCTTCATCCAGGACTTTCAGGACTGCTCTCGAGTAAATTGTTTGTTTGACAATGGCTATCTTATAGTTTTATTTGTTTTTCACCTTTTTTAAAATCAAGATTTAGGCTGAGCTCATAATTTATATTTTTCAAAGATTTGTGTTGCTCAGAGGACCAGCAAGTATATTATATGATTTATAAAACATATATATATTTTTAAAAATATATATATATATATATATATTTATGTTTCTGTAGACTGTCTGTAGACTGATCACAATATTATCAGCAGTCGACTTGGGGATGAGGGAGTTCTTATAATGTTTACTTTGTGAATGAACGACTAGCTTACACCATACAATAATTTAAAAAAAAAAAAAACCACTCAAAAGACACAAAGACAAAAGCTTTAGGAGAAATATGTCCGTGTAGGTTGTCAGTCATCCAAGTCATGGTAATCTAAAAAACATGGAAACTCCTCAGGACAGCTTTAGGAGAAAAAATAATTTCATGAATGGCAAAACCCAAAACATGGCAACTAGTGCTGCCAGTGATAAAAACACTGACACTGACACACTACAAAAGTGCTGATTGGCTGAGGGCAGAGAGCCTGATTCTAGAACAACTGTGATTGGCCCAGAGGCCTCAGCTCAAAAGAGGGTTACTCCAGGTCACTGACACAAAGAATTTTCATGTGCATGTTGGTGTGGATGACTACAAAGCGATGCCATTCTGGGCATAATTGAACATTACATAACTGTATTAAAAATAAAATAACATAAAATAAAATTAAAAATCTTACTTGAGACCTTAGAGACTTTTGACTTTACTACTGAAGAGAACCGGCTAGCAAGCTAGTATTTGAACATAATGCAGTGTATGTTTTTGAATAACATACATTTTCATAACTACAGATCAAATGGTTTTGTTTTTTTTAAAACACATTTTAAACAAAAAAGAGTTTAGAAAAAGGTGTTATTAAGACATGTTAGACACTGACATCCTACTTGTCTAAACAACCGTATGCACTTTTCACTGTTTGGTGAACTTTGGAAGAAGTTCATCAGTCTCTAAACCCACTCAAAGTTGGCCTCTTCATGGTATGTGGACTATCCCAAAACTATTTTGCTAATATACTGAGATAAATATAATACAATGTGAAACACCCTGTTTAAATTAGTAGCTGTGATGCATCTCCTTATTGGGCAATGCAGCACTCTGCTTTGTCTGACTTGATCGCCTCTAAATGTGATCATTACAAGAAAATACAGCAGCAAAGGTGGAGGCTGATGAGGGGAGAATTGCCTGAGGATGGAGCAGCAGCAGTTTAAAGTGAGATGTGCATACAACAGTATGAGACACATCTATGTACTAATATGTATTTGTGCATTTTCATTTATAATAAAGAGCCCGGCACCTCTAAATGAGGCCAGATGCTCAAGTCTATTACTAACATTTTTCACTTTATAGGTGCTTCCAGTAGGTTATCCTACCAACCTCCTGTCTGTGTAAACAGGAAGTCCAATTCAATGGTCTGTGAAGCCCAACAAGATGACTGTGAGCCTACAAGAGACCTTGCTAACAGTATATTTGTTCCTTCCACAGTCAACTCTCAAGTAATTCACTGCACACACAATGTCAGGATTATATTTCACCCAAGTCTCAGTCATGTAATGTCTGCTCGTTCAGTTGGTGCCTGAAACAAAACCTCCACCTCTCCATGTGCTGGACTCCTAAGACCTTTAACTATGCACCCTGCCCACTGTCCTACATCACCTTGGAGTTTGTTCGGACTGCCATCCTATAACAGAACTGATTTGTAACACAGCATCTCCAACTTCTGAAAATCTTTCTTTGGGCTATGAGTTACATGAAACCTAACTTTAACACAAATCAATTCAATGACAAACTAGTAAAAATGTTTATATTTACAGTTATAATGCAGGTTCTCTGATGTAACACCCAGCATTATTAGAAGATTGAAACAGACACTGGTTCATTCAAGACAATTTCAAGCTTCACTCGGATATTTAATATGCAGGTAAAACAATACTAGCAACTTGGGATGTTTTTTTTTTATTTTTACTTTGAAAATTAAAAAAATTATCGATAAAAAATTCATTTATTTACCATGTCAGCTGCTGCTCACTGGTTGTGCAGTGCAGAAATAAAGAGATTAAACTCTTCAGTTTCAAACACACACATATCCTGTACTGAAACTTTTCTGTGCATCGTACAGCCAGTGAATGATGCCCCTGCTGTTTTTAGTCTGCATGCACCTGTGTTTCAATGTTCATCGTTTTCTGCACTGAAGAGTGTCATGTGTTGGTTAGCCACACCCAAACTGTAACATATCAAGTTTTTCATTTGAGAGCTTTTTGAAACCCACAGAACCATGTGAGAAAAGCAAGGGAGATCCTGCAGAAATCAAGAAAACAAAAACAAAATAAAAGGTTCTCACAACATGAAGACTGTTATTAGCCAAACCAGAGCACAGTGCGGTGACAACGTTCAGCTGTTTCACATGAAACTGAATAACAGGGAGTCGATGCTGTGGATTTACATGCAGAACTTAAATAAAACAGTCAAGATTATTAATTATATTAAAAAACAATGTTCAGTCTGTTTCTTTAAATGTTTCATAGAGAGAATAAAATAATGTGTACCAAGAAAAAAAGACGTTAGACACATGCTGGCCTAATCAGGGCTGCTATTGCTCAGTTATGACTTTGCAAGTTCCATAGTAAGACAGTGTATACATGACTTTATAGTCATTGATAACTATGGCCTGTGGTGAGTGATGTTTTTGATGTGTTTTGATCCACTTAATCAATATAAATAAAGCGTGGTTTGTGTGTGTGTTTTGCTTTTTTATTTTGTGGGACAAGCAAACATGTTGGTGTTTGTATTTACTTTTGATGTGCTTAACTGTGAGCTGATGGTGACAGTTAAAAAACAGCATCTGAGTCAAATATGATTAGACAATAGAAAAAGTCTGAGTTTAAACACATGAATATATTTTATTGATTATTTAATTTCCTGTTGCTGTCCAACATCAACCTTTGAGATTTGAAGTAAGCTTTAACTGAAGTTCATCATCGTTCCACAGAGTGGTACTGCAACACAGAGATAACTATAAAATGCAGGTTGAGGAAATAATAAACACGTATTTAATATGTTTGCTGTACATGTACTTTTCTTTTTAGTCACACAATACTTAAATATTTGTTGGTCACAGACTGAATTTTTCTGACAAATGTCTGTCAAATCTTGTACAGTCTTATACTTTAACCAAACACACATATAAAAAAACAATTTTAAACGTTTTAAAAGTGATAAAAAATAATAAACAAAAAAACACAGAGCATCCAGAAAGTATTCAAAGCACTTCACTTGTTCCACATATTGTCATGTTATAGCCTTATTACAAAATGGATTCATTTAACTGTTCACAGGTGAGTATGTAAAGCCTTTTCTGTGGCACTAAAAACTGAGCTCACATGCATCCTGTTTTGGTGCATCTATTGATCATTTCTCAGATCTTTCCCAACTTGATAAGAGTCCACCTGTGGAACATTCATTTAATTGGTGATGGTTTTTTATAACTTAGGATTTGATAAGATCATATAGTTGACGGTGCATGCCAGAGCACAAACCATGCCATGAAGTCCAAGGAATTACAATATTAATTATGTCGAATGCTGAGACAGAACTCTATCTAGGAAAAAATTCTGGGGAAGAGTAAAGAAATTTCTGCAGCACTGAAAGACCCAGAGAGCACAGCAGTTGCCATCATCTGTGAATAGAAGAAGTCTGGAAGGATTCTTCCTAGAGCTGGCTGCCAAACCAATGTGAGCAATGGTAGAAGATGAGCTGAATGTAGGTGACCAAGAATCTAATGGTCACTCTGAAAGAGCTCCAGCCTTGCTCTATGGAGAGAAAAGAGATTTCCAGAAGGACAACTATTTCTGAAGCTCTCCACCAACAAGGCCTGTATGGTAGAGTGGTCAGATGGAAGCCACACCTCAGGAAAAGACACATGATAGCCTGTCTACAGTTTGTCAAAAGGGAACTGAATGACTTGCAAAAGATATCAAGGGAGTGGTTTTGAGACCAATCTGTGAATGTTCTTTAAAAATAAAAAATATATATATATCATTAATCATTTATTTATCCAGGTAAAATCTCACTGAGATTCAATGGCTGTGCACTAATGCTCTCAATTAACCTGGTGGAACTTAAGAGGTCCGGCAAGGAATGATAGGAGAAAGGGCCTAAAAACATAGCTGTACCAAGTTTAAAGCATCACACTCAAAAATACTAGAGGCTGTAAGTGCTGCCATTTCACTGCAGGTAACAAGCTGCACTCCAGGTAAAATTTAATACATCTGTCATAGATTATCACCAAACACATTTCCTTATTCATCATCCCTTATTATTACAGTACATTGCATTGCAAATATAAAACATAAGTAGTAACATCACTGACAGTTTTGTTGGGAGTGATTATGTCAAAATGTTCCTGTAGAGATGGAAATCTACCTTTTATGCCAGACTGCATGGATGTAGAAGCAGTTCATTAAATTTCCAATCTCTGTCAATCTCAAATACACAAAACACCAACGATACACCACGAGCAGTGAGAGGATTCGCTCTGGTTTATATCTGGTAATAAATATCTTCTCAAAAAAGCAAAGTAGTATTGCAACATGGCATTTGGGTCTTCTAACTAAAATAGGAAATTAGGAACATAACTAGTGCCATCATAGCCAGACCTGGCCCACATCTGGTTGACATATACTTTGCCATGACACCAGACAGTCAGAAGTGCCAGCTTGATGCCGGATTTGGGCCAGACCTGTTTTCTATGAAGCTGGACAACATAAACCAAACCACAATTGGGCCAGATGTGACATGCCATCACATAAACGGTTTATCTACACCAGGCCTGGCCCATATCTGGATGACATATCATTTATCATGCCAGAAGTCAGCCAGCAGTGCTGGCTTGACACCAGATCCAGGCCAGACCTGTCTGCTATGTGGGTTAATATCCAAACATGCATATGGTAGTGTCTGGGTTATAGTAAGGGTTCATGGGCAGGTCGGCCAATGAGGATGCAGCCTTTTGTTAGCCCTGAACCAAATATCTGAAACATGTTGCTAGCATCAAAAATCAAAAAAATAACTTTTCAACAATCAGAGAAATTTCCGGTTTGAACATTTGATCTGCTGACTTTGAACTGTTTTCATTAAACATCAGATTGAAGTGATTTCATTCATTTCATTCTGTTTGTTGTTGTTGTTTTTTCTTTGTTTTCTTGACAGTGGGAACACATTGATGCCACCTACAGGGCAGGTGGGGGACAGCAGGGATCTGAAATCATATGAGAAGTTAGTGAGTGAGAAGTGGAAAAAATTGACTTAAGATGGCTCTAAGTGCTAAAAGTTGTTCTCAAACAGAAGATAAATCCACTGATTCTTTTGTAAAGTTCATCTGGTGCTCACATGAATCCTGTGAAGGAAACTTTACTTCACTGAATGTTTCTTCAACGCTCATTTCAACATGTTGAAGTCATGAATGATCCACTCTCAGTCTGCACTCAGAGTGGATCACATGACATCTAAGGTGTGTCATGTGACATGTTCATTATTGTCACACATGTCTAGATTGTCCCTGATATCATAACTGCTCAAACACTTATCTTGTTTTATCTCTGTTGTGGCCAGTGCTATCCTCTGTGCTGTTGCATGCTGGGGCAGCAGATTGAGGCCAGTAATGTTGTGGGGATCGCGCTGGACTCCCTTAGGGTGGTGTCGGAGAGGCAGATGTTGTCCAAGATAAAGACAATGTGGGATAATACCTCCCACCCACTCCAGCACCACTGAACGACACAGGAAATCATTCTTGCCTATGGCCATCACCCTCTAAAACTCCTCCATCTAACACACTTTAAACACTGCAATAGTTACATGCTGTTTGCACACGCTCTTTTCTACTCAACAGTCAGAGTGTTTCTCCAACAGGAGGACTTTCTTTACACTCAACTCATCACAGACACACTGACGAACCAGGAGATCTGAACCAAAACCCAGGATAGAGAGTTTGAGTGAATGTGGTGTTGAAGGTGTGGAGGTGGATCAGAGTGTCAGAGGAGACTCTGTAGAAGGACAGAGTGCCAGCAGGACAGTCCACATACACCGCTACTCTGTTAGAGACAAAGTAGGACGAGGAGGTGATGGATTTTTCTGTCTTATTTTGCCTGACAGAACGAGGACGATCATCAGAGCAGATGAGACTCCAGGACTGATCATTCCATCCAAACAAACAGTCAGTACTGTCTCCTTTCCTTCTGATTTTTCTGGAACTCACTGATATCTCAACGTCTCCTGTCCACTCGACCTCCCAGTAAGAGCGACCAGTCAGACCATCTCTACACAGCAGCTGTTCATAAACATCAAATCTGTCTGGATGATCAGGATATGATTGAACCTCCTCAGCATGTGTCACCTTCCTGTTGTTGTCAGACAGTTTGAGGTTTGTGTGTACTGTGTTTGTGTCGATTGTGAGTTGACAGAAATCTGATGGAGAGAACAAACACAATCCAGCTGCAGTTATTGATCCATCATCTGTTCATTGATTGACACTTTGATGACTCCTGACACCAGAGATGTGAATGAGTGATGTGACAGTTTGAAGATGGCTGAATGTGTGCTGCTTTGTTTTCATGAATCAAATTAAAAACACACTTACACTTCCTCAGACCAGGTCTCAACCATCGGACTCCAGCAGGCTCCACCCTGAAAGGAGGAGGAGGGTCAGACCAGCACAGTCTCTTTCAGCATGAACACATGGACATTTCATGGCTGTCATACACACACTGTTAGACACTGATAAAGGAGCAGTTCAACACTGTGGTCTTTTCCTGTTTCATATGTTAGGCTATGCCCTCTCTAATTTTGGTAATTCCACGCCAGTGGAAACTAGGGCTGGGCCATATCATACCATTCACGGTAATAGCGGTATAACGTTGGGCAACGATAAGAAAATGAAATATCGCAACAGAATATGGATAAAACGCGCATGCCTTTGTTTTCATACGCACATTTCGGAAAAAGCATGGCGGCGACAGAGAATTAGGAGAGCGAAAGTGGATCATTGAATGAAACAAATGAACCAGAATTGGTTTGTAAAAATGCTGCAACTTCAGTGGTGTGGAATTGGTTTGGCTTTCGTCCATCAGATACACAACAAAGCACTATTTTTGGTGGAGCATGCTAGTGTAACCCGTTCAAGTGTTACACCTGTTGTTGTTGTTGCATTGTGTTCTGGCGTGAAAGTAAGAGGCAGGAGACAGTACTGGGTCTTTGGCTCTTTACTGCACATCTGCAACACAGAAATATGTGTCTGATCTGTGTGTGTCACGCGCCTGCCAGTACACCTCTCCCCCGGCCATGCTGAAAGGAGCTGTGACCGGGGCACAAATGCACGCGCCTACGTCACCACGCAGCGCGCACACGCTCGAACGCACACAGACTCAGATCACACAGGTAGAAGACCGAGATGCAAAAATGACATATTTAATCCAAAAAAAAAGTGTTTTGGGTGAAATTCACAAGTAGTTAACACATATGTTACACTAGCGGGCCGTCGTTATTACCGTTTTAGGAAAATATGGCACACTTAAAATCAATCCCTTGATTTTTCTGAAAATCGACAGAGCCCCTTATAATCCCGTGTGCCTTATGTATGAATTCTGGTTGTGTTTACTGACCTCGAAACGATTTTATGTCATACATGGCGCTCGAAAATCTGTCAAATATTTTAGTGCGACTTTGCTAAGCTACGAACTCGCACCGCTTGATGGATTGTCAGAGCATTACAGCAATCGTAGGCAGGAGCCTTGCGGAGTGATACGTACTGTGCTTCAACATAATATTACTGTATTGTGTGTGTGTAACCTCTTTTTAAGTTTTGTGGATATTATACATGGTTATGCTGAGGATATGTCGGCCAATTTCCACTGGAAATGCCTTGTAGTTAAACTGTCAGCAAGGAATTTGCATTTGCACTGTTATTGTTTTATATAACTTTAATGCACATTAAAAACAGCTGCTTGTTTAAGTGAAAATACATTGATGGGGTTTTGTTGCACTAATAAAGTTGTGGAGTTGTAAAGTATTTTGTCTAGCGTCAACTATATCGTCAGTTATATCGTTATTGCAAATTTTCAAATGTATATCGTGATAAATATTTTTGGTCATATCGCCCTGCTCTAGTGGAAACCCAAACAACGTCCATGTCACCTCTACTTGCAGCCCACATAATGATGTGATGAAATATTTTTTTTAATTTTTATTCAAAAATTATAATTAACTAGCTGGCTGCCGGCGGAGCTCACGGGCGCGTCACTGCAACTCCCCCTGGCTTCTGCTCCGCGGCTGCTGAATGAGCCCTCATCTGGGACTCTCCTCAGCTCTTACTGGGACAGTGGCGCAGCTGCCCGTCTGTGGGTCTTCCATGGTCTCTTGTGTTCTGGGGGCCTCTGGATGTCTGGAGTTTTGATCTCCTCCATACCTGCTTCATACCATAAAGGACAGGGCTGTGGCTCCCCACACTCCCTAGCAGATCATTACATGGAGAAACCTTTGGAATGCAAGCATGCTGATCCACACAGGTATGCACACAGGTGTACACATGGGTATTCACAGACGCGGACTACAGCTTTCTTGGCTGCTGCCTCAAAGCACACTGTGCGCTGTCTATCTTGCGTGCTGAACAATATCGTCTATTATTTAGTAACTATTAATATCTATGACTAGCTAGTTTATTGTGATGGTGCTTTTTTTTCTATTATTATGTTGCTCTTTGTTGTTTGCTGTCTCCTCTGTTTTTTGTTTTTTGTTTTTTGTTTTTTCTCCATACAGGTGACCCAGGAGTTTTTTTTTTGCTGTTGTTTTCTCTCTTCCCCCCTTCTCACCGTCTCTTCTCCCCTTTGGTTTTCTTTCTTTCTCTCCCTCTCTTTCTTTCATTCTTTCCCCCTGTCCTATCCCACAGTTATGTCTGTCCCGTTTGTAACTGAAAATAAAATAAATTCATAATTATAATAAAGGTCAACCAAATGGACCAATATGGCAAGGCCATGATGATCCACTTGGTAAAATAAATCCGCTTGGCATCTTTCTTGGCCTCAAGACAACAATTCTGATGGCTATAGATCCAAACGGGACACAAAAAAAAAAAAAAAAAAAAAAAAAAAATTATAATTAACACTACATAGCATACCATAGAATGTATGAAGCATGTAAAAATAATAATAACCACTGCAGCCAAAAAGAGTGCCTGATGAGCCCAGTCGTAAGTAAGCTATTAAGACTCGACTGTACACTGTGTTCGTGTTTTCCTCCGAAACAACAAGTTCCACTGGAGCAGCCTTTCGACGACTCTCTCTAGACAACACAGTAAAGCTAGTTTTTATGGCTACGACCCTGACACGGAACCCTATATATTGCCCAGAGGTCCCTGTACTACGGTTCAGAGCCGGGGACATGTTTTATATACGCGCAATCTCTAATAATCGGCTGTAGTTAAACCTTTACTTAAAAAGCCACCCCTAGTCTCAGCTGTCTTAGCTAATTATAGGCCAATCTCCAACTTTCCTTTCATATCAAAAATCCTTGAAAGAGTAGTTGTCAAACAGCTAACAGATCATCTGCAGAGGAATGGTTTATTTGAAGAGTTTCAGTCAGGTTTCAGAGCTCATCACAGCACAGAAACAGCTTTAGTGAAGGTTACAAATGATTTTCTTATAGCCTCTGACAGTGGACTCATCTCTGTGCTTGTCCTGCTAAACCTCAGTGCAGCATTCAATACTGTTGACCATAATATCCTATTAGCGCAATTAGAACATGCTGTACGCATTACAGGTACTGTAATGTATCAGATCTATCTAATAGACTCCAATTTGTACATGTAAATGGAGAGTCCTCTTCACACACTGAGGTTATTTATGGAGTTCCACAGGGTTCAGTGCTAGGACCAATTCTGTTTACATTATACATGCTTCCCTTAGGCAGCATCATTAGAAGACATTGCATAAATTTTTACTGCTATGCAGATGACACCCAGCTTTATCTATCTATGAAGCCAGATAACACACACCAATTGACTATGTGCACGTTAGCATATGCTACTTCGGTGCGGAAACTCCTGTGGGGAGCTTTGTTTCCCGTGTCCTATTCGCGACTGGTTTACGGTCCAAAACAAGTTAAGCAGTGAATGAATCAAGCGGCGATTTACATTTCTATAGATGTTTTGGGCATTTACCCAATATATCTGTAAATGATGTTCATCGACTTGTGATATTTTTCCCCGCGCCTCAGGGCAAAAGAGAAAATGGATTCAAATGTTATATTTCTCAGCTGTCCCTCGTTTATCGCGGGTGTTATGTTCTAACAATAACCAGCGATAGGTGAAATCAAGTAGCCAATTTTATTTTTTGACGGTGCAAAACATTTCGTGGACATCGTGGACATACAGTACTGCACTTCAGAGTCACACTACTAGCGATCGATGCAGCGATTCTGTACTGTACAGGAGAGACGTCACGGAGGAGATTGTCTGCAGCGATCAGGACGCAGGACACAATGTGACGTAAAAAAAAGCATGAAAACTTGCACTAAAAAATCAGTGAAACAGCAAGGTGAAAGATGAACCGCGTTATAGCGAAGGACCGCTGTAATTTTTAAGGTAAGTCACAACATACCCTTCATACATACTAATGTATAGAAACCGTTATCAGCAATCATTCATTTTTTGTGTGGCTTTTTTCACGGTTTGTTAACATGCTGTGTAGGTGTGTACTTGACTAGCTGATCTCGACATAACGGGGGAAACATCTGGTTTGACTATTCTTCACCTGTAGTTTGAATGCTGAACATTTGCCTGTTTAAATCATAAGACCAGTCACTATACAGAGATGTGCTTCTGAATGTGGATGATGTGTCTTCTGCTGCAGTGATGCAGTTCTGCTTGTGTTGAGTGATGTAAACAACTGATCGATCAAAACTCTTTAAACTCAAAATTGATCATTAGATTTTTTTTTATGACACAACAGTGGTGAGTGTTCCCACCTTCTCCTCTTTGTAACTTAACGCGATCTTTCCGTTTTCAAGTTTTGGACATGAGTTTGGACTATATCTTCAGAGTAGCGATAGACCGCAAAGTAAAGCTACCGAAAATGTACAACCCTACATCTGGTCTCAAACCAGGAAGTTAGCATTTTCTCGTGCACAAGGTTAATTAGTTAAACTGCAGGAATGTCTTAAAGACATAGAGACCTGGATGGCCGCTAACTTTCTGCTTCTTAATTCAGATAAAATTGAGGTTATTGTACTCGGCCCTGAAAATCTTAGAAATATGGTATCTAACCAGATTCTTACTCTGGATGACATTACCTTGGCCTCCACTAACGCTGTGAGGAACCTTGGAGTTATTTTTGACCAGGATATGTCCTTCAACGCACATATTAAACAAATATGTAAGACTGCTTTCTTCCATTTGCGCAACATCTCTAAAGTTAGAATTATCCTGTCTCAGAGTGACGCTGAAAAACTAGTTCATGCATTTATTACTTCCAGGCTGGACTACTGCAATTCATTATTATCAGGATGTCCAAAAAACTCACTGAAAAGCCTTCAACTGATCCAAAATGCTGCAGCAAGAGTCCTGACAGGGACTAGAAAGAGAGAGCATATTTCTCCTGTTTTGGCTTCCCTTCATTGGCTTCCTGTTAAATCCAGAATTGAATTCAAAATCCTGCTCCTCACATACAAGGTCTTAAATAATCAGGCCCCATCTTATCTTAATGACCTTGTAGTACATAGGGTGATATGGGATCACCCCAGGATCAATAAGTATTCTGATTTGATAGAGCACTTCGCTCTCGCTCTGCAGGCCTACTTGTTGTTCCTAGAGTATTTAAAAGTAGAATGGGAGGGAGGGCCTTCAGTTTTCAGGCCCCTCTTCTGTGGAACCAGCTTCCAGTTTGGATTTGGGAGACAGACACTATCTCTACTTTTAAGATTATGCTTAAAACTTTCCTTTTTGCTAAAGCATATAGTTAGGGCTGGACCAGGTGACCCTGAATTCTCCCTTAGTTATGCTGCAATAGATGTAGGCTGCCGGGGATTCCCATGATGCATTGAGTTTTTCCTTTCCAGTCACCTTTCTCACTCACTATTGTTAACAGACCTCTGTATTGAATCATATATGTTATTAACCTCTGTCTCTCTTCCACAGCATCTCTTTATCCTGTTTTCCTTCTCTCACCCCAACCGGTCGCAGCAGATGGCCCCGCCCCTCCGTGAGCCTGGCTCTGCCGGAGGTTTCTTCCTGTTAAAAGGGAGTTTTTCTTTCCCACTGTCGCCAAAGTGCTGCTCATAGGGGGTCATATGATTGTTGGGGTTTTGTATTTTGTATTATTGTAGTGTCTACCTTACAATACAAAGCACCTTGAGGTGACTGTTGTTGTGATTTGGCGCTATATAAATAAAATTGAATTGTTCCCACCTTGTGTTTACCGATTTTGTAGTTTTTCCTTTTGGCTATTTAAGGCTTCTTTTCGTCACTTCCTCACCTGGAATTAATTTTTAAATCCTCAGCATTTAATTCAGAGCATTTTACAATCAGGCTCCTGTGTATGTAGTCCATCTCCACCATCACTCTTTATCTCACTCACTCTGTGTTTCATAAACCTGCATAAGGTCATCAAACAAGTTAATTATCTTAATTAAATTTACAATAACAATTATCATTATCCTGTTCTTTTTAGGTTCAACTAGAGTTAGCTTTATTATCACTTTACAAATGATTCATTTTTCAACTTTTGGTCAAGCTAGGTAAACAACTTCCCCTGCTTCCAGTCATTTTACGAAGCTAGGCAGACCTCATCAGAGAAATGCTTCTGTAGGGAGATTAATCTAATGTGAATCAGGTCGAACAGAAGACGGTTTTTCTTAAAAATGACTGAACTAGTATAAACATGCAGATATCTATGCAAATTGTGAATATGTGAAGAGCAAAAGACAGTTATTGTTGGTGAAAAATGTCTCCTTGTAAACTCCCCTACATTAATATCTTAATCATTCAGATAGATTAGTGTTTCTGTTCCTGAAAATTTTTCTTCAGTGTTATTATTCATGTCACATCCATATGAAAACAAACAAAGAGTGAAGGACACAGGAAATGTTTCCAGCTCTTCCACCTCTATCAGACATTCTCTCAATACCTCAGAGTGTCCAGTCTCCAGCGTGGAGCCTTCCGTCCAGCCGAATAGAGCTTCATTTCGGAGTTTCCTGGATGATTGTAGCTCAGGTCCAGCTCTCTCAGATAGGAGGGGTTGGAGCTCAGAGCTGTGGCCAGAGAAGTACAGCCTTCCTCTGTGATCAGGCAGCCTGACAGACTGCAGACATACAAAACAATATATCTTTGAACACTTCATAGGAGGGAAGGATGTGAAAGATGAAGACTAAAACTAAATGGTGGTGGCTGTAGCTCAGGTGGCAGAGCAGGTCAGCCACTAATCAGAAGGTCGGTGGTTTGATCCCAGGCTGCCTCCTGGCTGCATGCCAAGTATCCATGGGCAAGATACTAACCCCATGTTTGCCTACTGGTGGTTGTCAGAGGGCCCGGTGGGCCAGTGTCCGGCAGCCTCGCTCTGTCAGTGCGCCCCAGGGTGGCTGTGGCTACAAGTAGCTTGCCATCACCAGTGGTGTGTGTGAATGGGTGAATGACTGAATGTAGTGTAAAGCGCTTTGGGGTCCTTAGGGACTAGAAAAGCGCTATACAAATGCAGGCCATTAACCATTTTAAAGGATCCATAATGCTCATAGAATGTCTTGTCACGTGGCAGCTTGCAACAAAAAAAAAAGTCACATCTGTTGGAGCACACTGCTGTTTTTGTTTGGCTTGGTCAAGTTTTACAGACAGTTCAGAGTCTTATTAGACTCTAACAAAGGGAAACTAAAATATCTGACAATTCTATAAGCGTTAGTAATTCATTTGGTAATGCAATACTGAGTGGAAGTGATTTAATCCTGACCTGAGAGTTTTTAGTTTACAGTATGGACTTCTCACTCCAGCAGACAGAACATCCACTCCTGAGTCATGTAGGTTGTTATCACTCAGATCCAGAACTCTTAGACTGCAGGGCTGGGAGCTAAGAATTGAAGACAGACTTTCACAGCTTTTCTTTGTGAGGTTACAGCCAATCAGTCTAGAAATAAAGAGCAAAAGACTAAAAATGGGTTAAAGTGAATTGATAGAGTACTAAGGAGTTGGGAGTTTTATAATAATAATAATAATCTTTCATATCTAGCTGGAATTGTTATTCCTTTATTTCAAACACATCATAACTGTGGCAATTTAAAGTAATTAATAAATAAAGACAAATACTAAAATACAAATGATGAAACCGATCATTAGTAACTATGATTTTAAAAAAAATCATTTGATAAAAAATAAACAGTCCTTGATTTGACCTCAAAGTTTCCAGTGTACAATGTGGACTCTGCAGTCCAACAGAAAGAAGCATCACTCCTGAATCCTGCAGGTTGTTGTTGTTTGCATCCAGCTCTCTCAAACTAGACGACTGGGAGCTGAGGACTGAGGACAGAGCTTCACAGCTTCTCTCTGAGAGGTTACAGGCACTCAGTCTGAAAAATGAACACAAAAACAAAAACAATGAAATTAAAGTGTATTGGTGGTGCAATGATGACTTATTAGATTTGATAATAGTTACTATTATTTCAGGACAGGCTTGAATTATTACTTCTTTATTTTAAACACAGCAATGTGTTAATTTAGTATTTAGAACTTGTGAAAAATACAAAACTACATCAGCGGATTGTTGATGGTGACCATTATTTGCTGTGCTTTTTATAAAACAGCAAATTATATAAATTGATGAAAAATAAAAAATTATTTCATCTGACCTCAGAGTTTGCAGCATACAACTTGGATTTGTCAGTGCAGCTGACAGAAGCTTCACTCCTGAATCCTGGAGGTTGTTGTTATTCAGGTCCAGCACTCTCATGCTAAAGAACGGAGAGCTAAGAACCGACGACAGATATTCACAGCTTTTCTCTGAGAGGGAACAGCCACCCAATCTTGAAAAATAAAGAAAACAAAAAGACTGGATGCAAGATGTACCAATAGTTCAGTGAAAAAATTAGTACATTTAGCCATATTCATTGTCATTTCAGAGGCAGCAAGAATTGCGATCATCTAATTTTACACATTAGAAATTTGGCAATTTACTTGAAAGAGAAATAATACAAATTACTGAATTACAAAACCAAGTAGATTAATTTGACCTTTATTAGCTGAGTTTTAATTGTTTCATTATAATTTGATGAAAAATAACTATCCTTTTATCTGACCTCAGAGTTTCCAGTGTACAGTGTGGACTCTGCAGTCCAACAGACAGAAGCTTCACCCCTGAATCCTGCAGGTTGTTGTTGCTTGCATCCAGCTCTCTCAAACTAGACGACTGGGAGCTGAGGACTGAGGACAGAGCTTCACAGATTCTCTCTGAGAGGAAACATTCACTAAACCTGGAAAACAAACAGTTAAAAAAAACAACTTCAAACAATTTTAATGTTTAACCTAAATAACAAAAACAAAATCTATTATGCAGTACAATTCATAGTTAAGTCGGGAACAAATAGAAAAATTGCTCAGATGAAACCAATGTAACGCTCTCAAATTACAACCACAAACGTATATGTTTTTTATCAAGATTTTCTGTTATAGACCAACACAAAGTTGCACATAATTGTGAAGCGGTACGAAAATGATACATGGTTTTCAAAATTTTAAGCAAATAAAAATCTGAAACCGTTAGCATACATTTGTATACATTTGTCTTGTTCTGGCCTCCTTAGACTGGCTTCCAACTGAATTTAGAATCTATTTTAAAATCTTATTACTGTTTTTTAAATCCTTAATTGGTCTGGAGTCTGTATATTTGTCCGATCTGCTGAAGCACTATGTCCCCCCTCGTTTACTCTGGTCAGCTGAGCAGCTGTTGCTCTCAGTTCCTAAATCATGGCTGAATCTTAGAAGAGACCAAACAGTCTCGATTGTGGCCTCAAAGCTTTGGAATGATATTTGTCTTCCTATTAGGCAATCTACATCAGTAGTAGTTTTTTAAGCTGGTTAACCTCCTAAGACCCAAACTCTTTGATGCCATGCATTTTTAATTTCTATTTGCTATTTGGGCTGATTGGGACCTGATGAATGTAAAAACAAAGAATTATCTTTTTACCTGATTTTGCTCTACAAGGGCATATATATCATATCATATATCATATATCCACATATGAGAACATTCATTTAAAATTTCGATAGAACAGTGGCTTGTGTGTGTTTGTCTGTGAATGACTTGGCCCTCAAACAATGATCAGGTGACTCTTTCGTTTCAGTTTATTTAACTTCCACACAATATTTCCAGCTGACGTTTTCCATGACTGATCAGTTTTCCACTGAACCCACTCTCCATATTCCACAGCCCAATTGCCGGCATCACTAAAAGCAGAAATTTCATTAGCCTGATTACCCCCACCTGGACCTAAGCTTCCTTGGTACTGGCCCTTGAGCCCGCTGCACCACCTCATGCTGAAATCTGTTCCTTCTGCTCCCTGTGACTCTTCACCTGTTCCTGTTTGAAATTACAGTAGTTTGCTGCAATAGGACATGGTCTCCAGCCACCAGTTTGGATATCTATGACAGTCTCTTTTATTTGTTTTTCATTTTCTCCATTCTCAGTTAGAGACTTGACGGAATTCTTCATCATTCACCCTTCTTCATAACTATCTGTGAAGCATCAGTTGATGTAATCTTTGAGTGTTTAATTCTGAGCTAAAATTCTGTTTTGTTTCCCGCGAACTCTCTGGTATCTGATGTAACCTATAGCATTTTCTTTTCTATCACTTAACTTTCCATCACTTCTGTCACTTACCTCCCTTTCTCTTTGGATGTGTTCTTAAACAATTGATGGCTAAATAAAATAAATAAAAACTCTCCAAAGAAGATTAATTCAAAATTCCTCCACAGTAATGTGAAAGCACCATTGCCAGTTTTCAAGAGTGCATGTTGTATTACTTTTTGCATACAGGCCCAACAAAGTTTTGATATATTTTATTAGGAAATAGAAGCCATCATAATTTAAAAAATGAATTTTGGATTTACTTGAGTAATTTTTGTCTAATATTGCAATGCGTTTAATGACGCAAAACATTTAAGTGTGAAAAATATACAAAAAAACAAACCAAAAATTTGTCTGCAACTGTTGACAATCATTCACTTAATTTTTTAAGGTTAAGGTTGCACATGATTTTTTTTTTCTTTTCAAGTTGAATTTAAGGGATGAAGGGAAAAAAAGCAAACCACATGACTCACAGAGCTTTGTTGGAGGCTTTGACCACTGGCAGCAGCCTCAGAAGAGCCTCCTCTGAAGCAGAGTATTTCTTCAGGTCAAACACATCCAGATCTTTTTCTGATGACAGTAAGATGAAGACCAGAGCTGACCACTGAGCAGGAGACAGTTCATCTGTGGAGAGACTTCCTGATCTCAGGGACTGTTGGATCTCCTCCACTAGAGAACGATCATTCAGTTCATTCAGACAGTGGAGCAGATTGATACTCTTATCTGCACTCAGGTTCTCGCTGAGCTTCTTCTTGATGTACAGGAGTGTTTTCTGATTGGTCCGTGAGTTACTTCCTGTCTTTGGCAACAGGCCCCGTAGGAGAGTCTGATTGGTCTTAAGACAAAGACCCAGGAGGAAGCGGAGGAACAAGTCCAGCTGTCCATGTTGGCTCTGTAAGGCCTTGTCCACAGCACTCCGGTAGAAAGATTTAAAATTTCTTTTTTTTCCAAATAAATTAGACTTCTTGGAGGTTGTTTGTTGTTCTTCCAGCAGATTGATGCCAGAGTTGATGAAGGTCAGCTGGACATGAAGAGCAGCCAGAAACTCCTGAACACTGAGATGGATGAAGCAGTACACCTTGTCCTGGTACAGTCCTTTCTCCTCTTTAAAGATCTGTGTGAACATTCCTGAGTATAATGAGGTTGCTCTGATATCGATGCCATAGTCTGTCAGGTCAGATTCATAGAAGATCAGGTTTCCTTTATGCAGCTGATCAAAAGCAAGTTTCCCCAGAGACTCAATCATCTTCCTGCTCTCTGGACTCCAGTGTGAATCTCTCTCAGCCCCTCCATCATACTTGACCTTCTTCACTTTGGCCTGAACCACCAAGAAGTGGATGTACATCTCAGTCAGGGTCTTGGGCAGCTGTCCTTCCTCTCTGGTTTTCAGCACATCCTCCAGAACTGTAGCAGTGATCCAGCAGAAGACTGGGATGTGACACATGATGTGGAGGCTTCGTGATGTCTTGATGTGGGAGATGATCCTGCTGGCCTGCTCCTCATCTCTGAATCTCTTCCTGAAGTACTCCTCCTTCTGTGGGTCAGTGAACCCTCTGACCTCAGTCACAATGTCAACACACTGTGGAGGGATCTGATTGACTGCTGCAGGTCGTGTGGTTATCCAGAGGTGAGCAGATGGAAGCAGTTTCCCCCTGATGAGATTTATCAGCAGCACATCCACTGAGCTGGACTTTCTAGGGTCAGTCAAGATTATAGTTTTGTGAAAGTCCAGAGGAAGTCGACACTCATCCAGACCATCAAAGATGAACACAACCTGGAAGTCTTCAAATCTGCAGATTTCTGCTTCTTTGGTTTCAGTAAAGAAGTGATGAACAAGTTCCACCAAGCTGAACGTTTCCTCTTTCAGCGCATTCAGCTCTCTGAAAGTTAATGGAAATATAAACCGGATGTCCTTGTTGGCTTTGTCTTCAGCCCAATCGAGGGTGTATTTCTGTGTTAAGACTGTTTTCCCAATGCCAGCCACTCCCTTTGTCAGCACTGTTCTGATTGGTTCATCTTTTTCAAGTGAGGCTTTAAAGAAGTCTTCCTGTCTGATGGTTGTTTCTGGTCTGTCTGGTTTCCTGGATGCTTTTTCAATCTGTCTGACCTCATGTTCACCATTGACCTCTGCAGTCCCTCCCTCTGTGATGTAGAGCTCTGCGTAGATCTGATTCAGAAGGGTTGGGTTTCCTGCTTTAGCGATCCCCTCAAACACACACTCGAACTTCTTCTTCAGCTCAGATTTAAGTTTACGATGACAAACTTCAGCAAGGCTTTCTGAATAAAGAAAGAATATCAGTTCATCTTTTACATAGTCCATATCAGAACTTTTTCTTTTTAAATAAATGTTGGTTCATCTCTTGAAATTTTAGTTAATGTTATAACCAGCAGCTTAAATCTTTAGAGAAATCATTTTACTTTTCTGAAGACGGTCAGCCAGGTCCTCCTGCTTCATTCTCCTCAGGAAGTCCACTGTGATCTTCACAAATGCCTCTCTGCTGCTCCTCTGCTCATCATCCTCCCTCTTACTCTCTAAGCATTCTGGGTAATCTGGACTCAGAACCTTCTGGATCTTCTGCAGCTCGTTCCTCACAAAAGTGATGATGTTGACCTCCAGCCGCTGGAACAGAATACTTTATGAATGACCTAATCAGACTGAAATCATGGAGCCACACATCAAATCTGTGTTGGACACACTGGCAATCCACTGGTCTACAAAGAACAGCATGGAGATGACTGTGAACAGAGTAGATGTAAAGGTAGTTGTTGTACATGTACAGACCATAAATATGGAGTCCAGGTGTGCTTGATGCTGCTGGGTAGGCTGACCACTGGGAACCTCTGAGCTCTCCTGGTCCACTCTGTGGAGGAGCCATGAAGATTTAATCCACAAAAAAAGCCTTCACCATAAAATCAAACAAACAAACAAACAAAAAACACACACATCTTGACATGAATTAGATCATCTGTTGGTTGTTGGAATTTGTAGGTGAAAGATGTGGGCATAGTCATTTCTGCCTTATTTGCATTTGTACTTGTATGAGTTTCCCTTTCAGATAATAAAATGATGAACAAAAAAATCAAATATACAAATCATATTCAAGTGTCCTACCATTCATGTCATGATTAATGACAGTATGTTCTGTTTAGTAATGAAAAAACTCCAAAATCTTTATTCCTTAACACCGATAACACTGATCACATTTTAAGCCGTGTCATCTTACATGTTGGAGAACTCCCAACCAACCTAGAATAGTCTGATAGAAATCTGAACATTATCTAGCATCTGAAATTCAACCAACTCTAGTTCAGTCTTTCTTCATAAAGATTAGAAAAACTTCCCAGTGCTTGTGAATGCCTTATCCACACCCTCATTTCCTCCTGATCAGAAATTTGCTGATTGTAAATGAGCCTAAAGGATGCAGCAGTGTTGCATCTAAGGTCAGTATGAAACTGTGTCACACTTGTCATGATATGAGTGAACAGTTGTTGTTTAAGGTGCAGTTCATGTGGAAGCCACCGGAGGGTGGTGTGGCGATAATAAAAAAGTGATGGCTAAAACCTAAGACGGTGTCATGTCTGCTCCCTGAAGTAATATCGTAACATGGTGTCAGAAGTGAACTGATAAGGCTATAGAAGAGTGTCGCACACATGGAAGGGCTTAAGCCGCCAGCTGGACTTGATTTGCTGCAAGGGAACCTCTCGGAAAATTGGAGACGGTTTCGGCAACGGTTCGAGCTGTATCTCGCGGCTACAGGAGGTGCTAGCAAGCCACCCAAGGTACAGTCTTCACTATTTCTTCACGTTGCTGGAGAGGAAGCGGTTGAAGTGTATAATACCTTCACGTTTGCGGAAAATGGTGATGAGCATACGCTGACGAAAATAATGGAGAAATTTGAGGAATACTGTAGCCCAAAGAAGAACATAACCTATGAAAGGTACAAGTTTTTCACGTGTGTGCAAGGGGATATGCCAATTAGCCAGTACATCACGGAGCTAAAGCTAAGGGCCAAGTCATGTGAATTTGGACAACTGCAAGAATCCCTCATCAGAGATCGGGTAGTGTGTGGAATTACATCGGATGCAATGAGAGAAAGGCTGTTAAGAGAAGATGATATTACTCTCGAAAAAGTAGTTCAGCTTTGCATTGCAGCTGAGACCACAAAAGCTCAAATCAAGCAAATGCATGAGGAGGATCAAAATGCTCAAGTCTCTGCACATGAAAGTAAAGACGTAGATGCAGTGAGACATAAGCAGACATGCAAAAAAGACAGACAAAGTAAGATGAAACTGAACGACAAAGACCAAGCAAGCACGTTTAATTGCAAACGATGTGGAACTAAGCATGCATTACGCCAATGCCCTGCTTATGGCAAACAGTGCAAGAACTGCGGGAAAATGAATCACTTTGCCAGAATGTGTAGATCGAGAAAAGTGCACACTGTCGCCGATGAAGCTACGGATCAGCAGGCAAGTCTGTTCATTGGAGCTGTAAATGCAAAAACACAGACACGAACAGATGAATGGACTGTAGAAATAAAAGTTGGCCACAAACCTGTGAAATTCAAACTTGATACTGGTGCACAAGCCAATGTGGTTCCCTACAGTCTACTACGAAGAATAGGAAATAAGCAAATGCTTAGACCCACAAATGTCAGGTTGTCAACATACACCGGAGACAAAATAGCAGTTAAAGGAAAGTGCACTTGGGCAGTGAAATACAAAAAGAAAAGTTTTGCTTTGGAGTTCATTGTCGTAAAATCAGAAACCAAGCCAATTCTGGGAATTCAAACATGTGAAGAAATGGGACTCATCAAGAGAGTGATGGCACTGAATAAAAGTGATGAAATGGACATCTTCAAAGAATTTGCTGATGTGTTTGAGGGGATAGGTTGCCTTGAGGGAGAACACACCATTCAAATTAATGATAGTGTGGCACCAAAAGTTCATCCACCGAGAAAAATCCCCGTCACTTTGAGAGAAAAACTCAAGGTAGAACTGGACAGAATGGAAAAAATGGAGGTGATTACAAAAATTGAAGAGCCTACCCAGTGGGTAAATCCAATCGTCGTTGTGGAAAAGGCTACTGGACGACTGAGAGTCTGCCTAGATCCACGTGATCTCAATACAGCAGTCATGAGAGAGCACTACCAGTTGCCAACAGTTGAAGAGATAACGAGCCGACTGGCAAAGGCCAAATACTTCACTGTGCTGGACGCAAGCTCAGGATTTTGGCAACTTAAATTGGATGAAGCCAGCTCTCGTCTCTGTACATTCAACACACCTTTTGGTCGTTACAGATTCCTTCGCCTGCCTTTTGGAATTAATTCAGCTCCAGAAGTATTCCACAGGACGGTGAGGCAGCTGTTTGAGGGGATTGATGGCGTCGAGACATACATAGACGACCTTTTGATCTGGGGAGAGACTAAAGTACAGCATGACGACAGACTGAGGCAAGTGCTGGAGAGAGCAAGAGCAAAAAATTTTAAGCTGAACAAAGACAAATGCAAGGTAGGCCTGGAGGAAATTAAATACCTTGGCCACATCTTCTCGGCAGATGGTTTGAAACCAGATCAGAGCAAGATAGAGGCAGTAAAGAAAATGCCTACACCAGAGTGCAAAAAAGATGTGGAGCGATTTCTGGGTATGGTGACATACCTAGCAAAGTTCATTCCAAACATGTCACAACACACAGCGCCATTACGCGGCCTTACCAGAGATGATGCTGCATGGCAGTGGGAAGGTGAGCATCAGCACGCATTCAACAAATTGAAAACAATTCTTACTGAAGCTCCTGTGCTCAGATACTATGATGTACAGCTTCCAGTAACACTATCTGTCGATGCTTCTAAAAGTGGACTCGGTGCTGTCTTACTACAAGATGGCAAGCCAGTTGCTTATGCATCACGCTCATTAACAGAGACTGAACAGCGTTATGCACAAATAGAAAAGGAGATGTTGGCAATTGTGTTTGGTGCAGAGCGTTTCCATCAGTATGTGTATGGCAGAGAAGTGAACGTGGAGTCAGATCACAAACCACTAGAAGTGATAATGAAAAAGCCGTTGAGCAGTGCTCCAGCAAGAATACAGAGACTCCTAATGAGACTGCAAAAATATCAGGTACAAGTACAGTACAAGCCAGGAAGTGAAATGTACATCGCAGACACATTATCCAGAGCATATTTGCCAGTGACCAGCTCATCTGATAATGAGATAGAAGACCAGGTGCACATGGTAATTTCCAACTTACCTGTGACAAGTGCAAAACTAAAGGAATTCAGAAAGGAAACAAGGAATGATATGACACTGACTAAACTTACAGAGACAGTTCTGGATGGATGGCCAGAAACAAGAAACCAAGCTGCAACAGAAATCCAAGCGTATTGGAATTACAGGGAACAAATTTCAGTAGTGGATGGAGTTCTGTTCAAAGGAGAGCAGCTTATTGTTCCTGCAGCACTGAGAGCAGAAATGCTAAAGCGCATTCATGAGGGTCACTTGGGTATTGAAAGCTGCCGACGCAGAGCGAGAGAAGTACTCTTTTGGCCTGGAATGTCACAGAGTATCACAGAGATGGTGAACTGCTGTGATGTGTGCAGTACTCACCAGAAACGACAGAACAAAGAACCACTACATCCACATAGTGTTCCTGAAAGACCTTGGCAGAAGATAGGTGTGGACCTATTTACTTTTGACCAGCAGGAATATCTCCTCTTAGTGGATTACTATTCCAAGTTCATTGAGGTTGAGTGGCTGAAGTCAGACACAAGAAGTGCAACAGTTATCACTCATCTTAAGTCACAATTTGCCAGACACGGGATTCCTGAAACGGTGATTTCAGACAACGGACCACAGTTCAGCTCCCGTGAATTCCAAGACTTTGCAAAAGAGTGGGAGTTTTGTCACAACACTACGAGCCCCCACCATGCACAGTCAAACGGAATGGCAGAGAGAGGAGTACAAACAGTGAAACTCTTGTTAAAAAAGGCAAAAGCCGAGGGGAATGACCCGTATCTATCATTAATGAATCTGAGGAGTACACCGTTGGAGGACATTGGCGCGTCACCAGCCCAGCTGCTAATGGGTCGACGCATAAGAACAAGACTTCCAACAACATCGCAAAGATTGAAACCCCACATGGTCACTAAGACAGTGCAGCAGTTGTTAGAAACAAGACAACAGAAACAGAGAGAATACTTTAACCAAGGAACCAAAGCACTTAAACAACTGCAGGTTGGTGACACTGTCAGAATGTGGCAACAGGGTGTATGGAATCCAGCTCAGGTGACAGGTTTATCTGAACATCCAAGATCTTATGTTGTTCAGATGCCTGATGGACAGACATATAGAAGGAACAGAAAGTTTCTAAGGCAGTCAAGGGACAACCAAAACGTAACACAGCAAAATGAGTGTGATGAAACACAGGGACAAAGTGAGATGGACATGCAAAGTACAAATGTCACTCCCACAGAGTTTCCAAGTTCCCCACCCAAAACTGCGAGTGGACGTATTGTTTCCAAGCCCAGAAGGCTTATTGAGGAATAAAATGAACATTATGTTTTGAGCACATGCTGTGATTAAAAAAATAATAATAATAAAAGTGTTCACTAGAGAGAAATGTGAGTATGCCAAGAGGCATTTTTTTTCTCCCTTTCTTTTTTCCCTCTGGTCATGGGCCTTGAGTGGTGTTGTGAGTTACTTTGTTGTTTGCCCCTGTTGTTGAAAAAAAAAAAAAAGGGGGATGTCATGATATGAGTGAACAGTTGTTGTTTAAGGTGCAGTTCATGTGGAAGCCACCGGAGGGTGGTGTGGCGATAATAAAAAAGTGATGGCTAAAACCTAAGACGGTGTCATGTCTGCTCCCTGAAGTAATATCGTAACAACACTGAATAATGGGGAGCTGCAGTTGTAGCAGGAAGCCCTCAAAATGACTACAGCTAACAACTCCAACTAGAAATCAAAACTGGCACAAAAATCAAACACAATTAGTACAACTGAACCCTTCAAGTACC